CTATCCATAGGCTGAAATAATGCGGAATAAAATAAGATAGAATAAAAAAGACCATTTAAGGAAGTCGTGCCGCGATGCCACTGTTCATTTGCATCGAATTTGCAAAACATTATTTTTTGACCCCCTTACAGATTAAATCTGTTTTGGGCCACTACGCCTAAGCTATCTGCTGACTAATCCATGACTTGAGGTCCGCCTGACACATGTTCAGCATGGCGATGGTCGCCACCTGGTCCAAACATTTTCCAATATATGGAGTCCCATCCCTGAGCTCCCTGGCGAGGTTTTTAGCTGAAATTTGAAAATTGCTATCAGCAGACAACGCTGACACATACCACTGCAACCAGCCAGGGTACAAGGTGAGCAGTGCTGACACCATTCTCTCCCTATAAGTCTAGAATTGCGAAAACAACTCATTCCCCAAGCTACTGCGACTGTTTCTTTTTCATTAAAGACTTGATTTCATGTGTGTACTAACATATTCCTGCAACCACCGCTGGGCACGACAAAGGTACTACAGCCGCTTAGGGTTCCAAGTTTCAACACGATCAAGTCAAGCTAGCTCTATTCCAGCAACGAGTGTAGCTGCTAACATCCTCACATCTTCTTCATCATCAAGAAATGCTGTCTCTTCTCCATCATTCACCAGATTGTGGTACTGTAGTAGTAGCAGTCCATTCAGTCAATTTTGACGTAGAACCGGTACCCCAGACATGCCAAATGTCCGTAGATTTTGTCCAGCCGGTCACTGGCCGATGGTAGTAAATATATGTAGATATGGTACTGGCCAGTCCTGATTCTGCTCATGTGTCTTAGTGTAGCAGCAGGTCTGGCCAGGCATCTTAGACACCAGAACACTGGCCAGACCCGATGTTACATGTATGTATGATTGGTCTGGCCAGCTTTATATTTCCTGACCAGATTGTAGCACCAGGTCTGGCCGGTCATGCAGGGCCAGTTCTGGCCGGGCATAGATAAAATCACAATGTCAGCCAGAACTACTATAACCTATGGATAGAATAGGTCTAACCAGGCATCTTAGACATAAGAACACTGGCCAGACCTGGTGTTACCTGTGGGTAAGGCCTGTCCCGCCGGGTTCATATTTTCTTAGCACATACTGGCCAGACCTGGTGGTACATGTGGGTATGGCCCGTCCGGCCGGGTTTATATTTTCTTAGCAAATACTGGCCAGACCTGATGTTACCTGTGGGTATGGCCTGTCCGGCCGGGTTTATATTTTCTTAGCAAATACTGGCCAGACCTTGTGGTACATGTGGGTAAAGCCTGTCCGGCCAGGTTTATATTTTCTTAGCACATACTGGCCAGACCTGGTGGTACATGTGGGTATGTCCTGTCCAGCCAGGCTTATATTTTCTGAGTTCAAGTTGTAGATATACTATCTTAAACAAAGCATGCGCGAGATACAAGTATGCTAATATTTCATTGCTTTCTTGGAGGGCAGCCTAGCTCTGGAAGAGCGACGGATGTCGTCAGTCTTGGTGATCTTGTGTGGCTTTCCAGATTCACCCGACTTGCTCCTTTTTTTCCCCTTCACCTCCACTCTTACCTCTGCCTCCGACTCACCATTGTGCTCCACTTCCACTCTCTGTCTCTCCAGGGACTCATTTTCCTCCACGAGCTTCTTCGTTTCCTCCTGCAGCTTCTGCATATCATCCTTTAACCTCTTATTCCTCGATTTCGCCTCCTCCAACATCCTCAACTCTTCCTCCAGGTGCTGCCTGACCTCCAACTCGTGATCCCTTTCCTTCTCCTCCTGCTCTCCTGCAGCACGTTGCTGACCCTCCCTTCCCTTGAGCATTGGAAGCATCCTACCTCTGACAGTATCGACCAAATCTTCAACAAGGCTGAGGATCTTGATATCTAAGGTCGAGGCACCAAGGTAAGTGGGGGTGTTGTGAGGGGCTTCGTCCGCCTCATACTCGATAGCACGTTTAAATTCCCTGAGCAGTAAGCCGAGACCCAAAGTGATGCGCATTCCTGAGGGCAAGCTGGTGATCTTGGCAGATGCGATCATGTCCAAAAAATTTTCTACAACACCATCTTCGGAGTGCACAGCATTGGGAAGGTACGATTCTTCCCAAGACCATGTTGCCCAGGTAGGCCAGTCCCTTTGCTCCTCAGAGCTTGGTCCCTACACCATGTGAGTATTGAATTCTGCTCATTCAATGACGAACATACCTTCTCCAAGTCTCTGACCCCTTCAACCAACAGCAGGTATTTATCATTATTGCTCAGGGACTTCAAGAACTGCACGCGATCCTTCATTGGAACTGCCGCGGGTGCTCCTTCTTGAGCGCCAGATGGCCTAGCAGCCAGCCCTGTTGTACGTCCTGCAAAGGATGTTGTGGCTAAGTCATCTTCTGAAGAGTCATCGTCAGCTGGGCTGATGGTACTTGGTGCAAGGTGTGTGCTGGCTAGGGCGCTGGAGGCAGCCTTGGTCCCGGCCAGCCCTTTCATACGTGGTGTGGGGCGTGTGCTGGCCGAGGCACTGGAGGCAGCCTTAGTCCCGGCTGGCCCTTCGGTATGTGTCGTAGGTGGCTTGGCTGAGGTATCGTCCTCGTTTTCTTGACTGATTTCCACATATACCTTTTTGTCCCCCTTATAGGGAACTGCGTTCTGCAGGCTCTCTTTGCTCATATCAGCAAGCTTGCCTGCAAGGAAAATAATCAATCTTTGCTTGGCTGCCTGTCTGACTTCCCAATGGTCCCACAGCTTGGTGATGTCGTCAGCCCTCAAATGAGAGGGATCCCTCAACAAGAAACCCTTGGGGTGTTACGACAAACGGTCGTGTGCGACTAGGATAATCTAACAGCGACAACCACGACAGTGGTACCGAGTGCTGAGAGTCGTCGGCCTTTACAGACAAGCAAAGGTTGCGTACTCAAATGTAGCTCATGGTGGTTAACGAGGGGTTACACCGAGATGATAGCGGTTTACAGACAGTGAGAGGCGTCACTGAAGGTACAAGTCGATGTCGAGCAGGTAGCTTTAGCGGGACAAGGAGTTCAAGGGTAAACCTAGTAAGATTAAAGTAAGGAACGTCTACTTGTAATCTTCGACCTTATATAAGGCTATTCTTCGTATCTAAGCTCAGCCTAAAGCTGGGTTCTAATCTGCTTATCTACATGAGTCAGAGATAGCGTCCATGAGGCGGGCTTCTATCGTAGATAGCGTCCATGCGGTATGCTTCTATCAGAGATAGGATCCACGTGGTATCCTTCTATCAGTACATGAGGCAGCGCGTGGCTTGCCTTCTATCTTCTATCAGTCCTCGAGGCAGCACGAGGCTCGCCTTCTATCTTGATAACATTAATAGGTCTTCTAGACCTATGTCGTCATGTATCGTCACATGCGGTCCAGACCGCTTATCTAAGCCGGCAGTTGCCGCTTATCGTCTATCGTCATCTATCATCATCTGTCGTCACAGAGCTAGTGAGGCTCCGGTATCGTCTATAGAGCTGGTGAGGCTCTGGTGTCGTCTATAGCCGTGCAAGTGGCAGAGGGCTCTCTGCTGGTGGGGGACTCGTGCCATGTTACTGTAACATGGGGAGGCACTCCAGGTCCAAGTACAAACTTGGCTTAGCCACAACCTCACGCCAAGGTACTGGCTTGGTACTGTCAGTGAAAACTTCTACCCAACCAACCTTAAGTCCCATCAAAGCTGACCGAACAGACATTAACTCACTGTATGACACATGGAAGATCCGTTGGACTAATTCTTGCTGTCCTTTCGCATTGATACCAGCATGTGAAGGAAGCTTTGCATAGCCTGTCTTGTCTAAGACAAGTTCAGGCAACTTATCCTTGGTATCGTCCTCGTCGTCCTCATTGTCTGACACTCCATCAGAGTCCTCAGGGTCTTAAGATTCTTTAATTATTGTGTAGTCAATACAAAATGAAAACTCACAGAATTCTGACTTGGACCACTCCGCAAATTTTGTAAAACCATCAGATGTCCATTCTTTGTTGCCGTGAGAACTTTGTGTGAACACTTTTTTGCCATTCAAGGGCTTAGACTCATGGCTGAATAATAACATTGAGTTATTTTACTTCGATAAGACAATATCACTCACATGACGACACTTAGAGTCTGATCAGATTTGTTTTTGTGACTGACTAGCATCACAACCTGACACCCTATAGTACGACGAATTTGTTCTGTAAAATCGTCCAGGACTCTTTTGAGGTTCCTCTTCCGATACCTGCCAGTATATGTGTTACAGGCATCCGTAACACCTACAGGAGCCCCTGCTCTGCCTACACCTGCCCCCGCTCTGCTAGACTCCCCGTGCGGCGGTGCACCGCCTGCGCCTAGAAAGACAGTGGTCTGGACTGCTGTGACCCCGCCCCTGGCGCTATGACCCCGCCCCTGGCCTAGATGGCCTTGTACCTGATCCATGGAGGCTGTACGCCTCATGGTCACCCTAGATCAGCGCATGCATACCGCATGTCGCTTCATGAAGATATGGAGCGCTCTTGGCGCTTCCTGTACCCACGCGCAGCTGCCCTTGGCGCAGCATGCTTGATCAGAGGTTAAGCCTCATGTATCTTATCTGACCTCATGTCTTGTTATCATAGATCCTAGATATACTATAGATTACAGACTGAGCTAGAATATTTATATGTAGCACATATAAGTAGACAGATTATTGTACTTAGACTTTACTTTAATCTACTAGGTTCATCCCCAGAACTTGCTTATCTAAGCTTTACCAGCTTCCTTGTGTGAGACCGCACTTCTAAGTCGCCCCCATACGACTTAGCACGTATCCGCTAGCCCTGTATCTCGACGAGCACCGTCTTACCGAGATCACCGGAGGAACCCTTGACGTTCCGTCAAGCCGAGAACCACCCTCAGCTTCAGTAGACTCACTCAAGTCGTCGCTGAGAAGACCTATCCTAGTTCGCACACGCCGACCGACGGTCGACGTAACAATATGTAGTTATAGGAGATACTGAGTTGAGAATATAAATACTTACATTGCCTGCGCTTCTGCTGGTGCGCCTTCCCTATTCCACTTTTCCTTCGTGTCCTCTACCTCCTCACGTTGCGCAGGAGTCATATTGTTAAACCAGTCCCTCGCGTGTCCTGTACAGAATTTAATCAAATGTTTTCCCCCCAACTTTGATTGCTCCTCCTTGTCATAGTCATCAATTTCCTGCTTGAACAACTTCTGTGCGACATCCCAGTCAGTAATTTCCTTCTTGTAAAATGCGGCATCCTTTGGACGAGCTGCCATCTCCCTCTCCTCAGGGGATACACCAAGTGCTTCATTGTCCTGTTCATCTTCCAGGAACTCTCCTTCAGCTTGAATATCATCCTCATCGGTTAAGAACTGGAGATAGTAGCGCCTAATGGCCTTTTCATATACAGGCAAATAAGTACTATTTTCTATACAAAATAAGCCATACAAACCTTTCTTAAAGGCTTCGGCAAGGCAGCAGGATCCTCCAGTGACTTATGTTTTGTGACAATCTGATCGCGTATTGTCTTCAAAATACTTTGACGTGTTGGTGCCGAAGCAGTAACAAACTTGTCCTGGTGGATAGCTAGTATTCCCTCGAAAGACTCATACCATTTGTCCATGATATGTTTAGTAGTAGAAATAAGGATATGAAGTGTTTGCGACACGTAGTCAAGGGTCGGCCGCACAAATGTTCCAAACACGATCACATGTCAAAGGTGACATGTGATCGTGTTTGGAACATTTGTGCGGCCGACCCTTGACTACGTGTCGCAAACACTTCATATCCTTATTTCTAAACCTGTAATTAATGAAACCACTGATGAATGCACAAATGGAGGCTAACAAATCAAATCAATTGCAAAAACATCTATCTAAGTAACTAGTGTGAAATAATTCAGTTGCGCGCCTTCTTCCTAGTAGACTCAGTCTCATCTAAACTCTCTTTGCTACTCCTTGGACGTTTGGCTTGGCTGATGGAAGATGTGGCCGAAATAGGTGCAGACTGAACAGACGGAGATGGGAAGATGGCAGAAGGGGACTGAAACCAGCCGCTGTTCCTGCTCTTAGCGGCATTGACAAGGAAACCCGGAGGTTTGTCAATCTGGAACCTATGGGGAGACTTTCCCTGGCTCTTACCACATTCAGTATGTAAGCAGGTATATATGTACCTACTGACACCTGCGGCCTGGTCTTGAGCGGCGACACCTTGAGACTGTTGTGATGCTGTCACACTGACTTTCTCCGACCAACTATTGGTCGAGCCGCAGAGGGGACACTGTGAAGGCACCTCAATGCCCCATGGCTGTGTCTGTGGATGGGCGCGTGCGTAAGTTGTGACTAAAAGCCTGGGAAAATGGGCGGCGTTATCCCTGGTCATTGATATGATCTTGGAATGTAGTCCAAGGTGGTTGGAGAGGGAGAGCAGAGAGGGAAAGACTTTGTGGAGATCCAGCTGTTCGATGATGACAAGTTCCGCTAGGGCCAGTAGGAAGTTGGTGGCGACCAGTGGCTGGAACCTTTTGGCAGGAAAAATGATAGCGGATGCTACCTTGATGTCCAGGATGGCCTGCTTGAGCTCAACAAATGCGTCCTCATGTGTGACAATAGAGCCACACACAAGGAGCACCATGTTGGCGGCCTTGAGAAGAGGAAGATAAGGCCGAAATACAGTAGATAGTACCTAGATCACCAATTAGCCAAGAACTTGCAGAATAGATGGATACATTACCTGGGTGACGCTCATAGCAATATATCTACCATTTACCTTGCCCGCGAACAGCCACCTGCTGTCTTGTTCGGAATGGTTCGAAAAAAATGCAAAAATGCGTCCAGCTCATCCAAGGTGTTGCGTGAGTTGAGTGACACGCGCTTGCTGCATCTGAGTGTACGCGTCTATCTTCTTGTGTGCCGCGACGTCGAAGACAACCTCCAGGTAAGTGTACCCACCGTTGGGGAAAAGTGTTCCAAATAGTGCGACAGGAGGGGGACAGGCGTTATCACTTCATCAGTTGCACTGATGATGAAGTGAATGATGGTGACCGGCATGGAGGCCAACAACGTGCATGACGCGGCCTCAAACTTGCCATTGAGCCGGAGGAAATGAGGAAGGACAGGATGCCCTCCTCTGTCAGGCAAGTTGGCGCTGTAGAATCCCTGTAATCACATTAATAGCGTAGTCAAAAGAATTAAAAAAAGTACTTACAAAGTAGGGTGCCGGCTTTCTAAGACTGCGCAGAGAATGGCAGGATAGGCAAAGAAACAAGACGTCGACACCTTGTACAATGTTGACATAGCTGGTGGGGACTTCAATACAGTGACTGCACATAACGCGCGGGCAAGCATCGCACTTGTACAATACAACGTCACCTTCGGCGCCATCACGGCAGATCATACACCACTGACTAAATTAGCTAAGATAGACATTATGAAGGAAGAACTTACTAGGCTGTGGATCTCTGCAGGCAGCTCAGGTGCCGCCGGTCCACTTGGCAATAGATCCTCCACATATGGATTGGGAGAACCAAGGGGAACACTGACTTTGAGGGCAACACCCCCAGCAGCGCGCTTCTTGGCAGTGTTCTTCTTGGGTGGCATGAGCTGGGGCTATGAGATGTAGAAGTGGTACCGGCCGATGGATTCAACAATAAGAAATCGGACTTACAATAATTCGAACATGGGTGTCACATGATCGCGTGAAACCGGCATTGTGCATACAAAAAGACATGTTGTAAGTCCAATTTCTTATTGTTGAATCCATCATGTCTTTTTGTATGCACAATGCCGGTTTCACGTGATCATGTGACATATGGCACGCGTGCATTGTGGATGAGTCGTGTTTTAAACGCGTCTTGTTTGATCATGTGACCCGTGGCACGCGCGCATTGTGGACAAGTATTTTTTGTATTTTAAACGCGTCTTGTTTGATCATGTGACCTGTGGCACGCATGCATTGTGGACAAGTCTTTTTGTATTTTAAACACGTCTTGTTTGATCATGTGACCCGTGGCACGCGCACATTGTGGACAAGTCTTTTTGTATTTTAAACACGTCTTGTTTGATCATGTGATTACATGAAACCGGCATTGTGCGAATACAAACACAATCAAATATTGCGGCATATAGTGAGCAGGTAACACATTCCCACGGTTGAATTTCTTGTACCGCTCGCTCACCATTGCTCACCATGTGCATCCTCACTCCTCACCACACTTCAGCGCTCATCCCATTAGCCACTTACACAGTCTGCAGCTGTGTAAGTGGCTTATGGGTCACTGAGCATTCTACACTTCAAGGTAGATGTCTTCTTTTCTCGCGTTCCTTGCTGAATATGTTCTTTTCTACAGGTTATATCCTCTCAGGTGAGTCTTCTGTTAAGTTATGCGGCGCTTACCTTCTTTCTTTTTGATAGGATTCCTTCATCATCCGCCTCTTTACTCCACTCATTCACCAAGGTTCGTCTTATCTTGACGTCTCCTGCGCTGACTATTTGTCTATAGTATTTCATTATCATCCGCCCACTCTCTCACCAAGGTCTGTGTTCTTTTGAGCTCTCCTGTGCTTACCGTCTGTCTTCAGCATTTCACTCATTTGTCCTCCTTCAAGTTATGCACCCTCTCAGGTCTGTTTTATTTAGAGCTTGCCTGCACTTACCATTTTCCTTTTTTTTAGTGTTTTATTGCCATGCACAATATCTGCATGGGTCTTTGGGGCTGGGGGAGGTATAGTGTCCACACTGGTGCGCCTATCCTCCTCCAATATTTCCATGGGTCTTTGGGGCTGGGGGAGGTATAGTGTCCACACTGGTGCGCCTATCCTCCTCCAATATTTTCATGGGTCTTTGGGGCTGGAGGGAGGTATAGTGTCCACACTGGTGCACCTATCCTCCTCCAATATTTTCATGGGTCTTTGGGGCTGGAGGGAGGTATAGTGTCCACACTGGTGCGCCTATCCTCCTCCACCATTTACTTGGGGTATGGTGCTCAATGTGCGCCTAAATTCGCTTCCTCAACAAGATAGTTTCATTTGTATTCCCTTAGCAAACACTGACCACCGTTCATGCAGGTATTATTATATGGCGCCAATATCTAATAAAAGGACGGTTTTGATTATATTTGACTTTACAGGTACTGACCAATGTTTACAGATTGTACCTACTTTTATATGTACTGTAGTTAGCAGTACAAGACCGTTGTGGAGAGGGCCCCTCCACAGCGGCCTTGTATTGGCAGAATTTTTTCACTTTATTACTATTTTAAAATGCACAACATGTCTCAGTAGTTTTACCATTATAAAATCACATGCTCCGCTTTGAAATAAAATCACGTGACTTGTATACTCAGCGCCCCATATAAGTCTTTAGAGACTTATGCCTATCTGTTACCAACAAGTTTGCAAGATTTGCTTTGATTCAGGACGTTTGATTTGATTTGGAGGATGTTTTTGTTTCATTGATAGTTGAGCCATCGAGGAACCTAGTTACCTGAGCTTATGTGAGCGTAGATGGCCAGATATAAAAATTCAAAATTCAAAAGCCCGTATGCAACCGCCTAGCAGCCCACCTTTCTTGTTCAGAGTGCAATTGGGGACAAACCTTCAGTGCGCCCTAAGTGTTGCTTCACAGCTATACAGTAACTCCCCATATTTCATCACATATGCACTTCACTGAAACTTTTGTTCTGCAACCTTTACAACCGCCACCCCTCTTCATCCTTGTGACTCACAAGTAAAGCTCCCCCATTTCATCATGTATGCACTTCACCGAACAAAACTCCATTCTTCTGTCCTTGACTCCTTGCCTCACATCATATTCTAACTCACAAGTAAAGCTCCCCCATTTCATCACATATGCGCTTCACCGAACAAAACTTCATTCTTCTGTCCTTGCCCCCCTTCATCTTCTAACTCACAAGTAAAGCTCCCCCATTTCATCGCGTACGCACTTCACCGAACAAAGCTTCATTCTTCTGTAACCTTCACCACTGTTGTTTGGTGAAGTGCATGCGCAATGAAATGGGGGAGCTTTACTTGTGAGTTTTGTTCACCACTGTCATCCCTCTTCATCTTCCAACTCACAAGTAAAGCTCCCCCATTTCATTGCGCGTACGCACTTCACCAAACAATGATAGTGGTGAAGGTTATAGAAGAATGAAGCTTTGTTCGGTGAAGTGCATACGCGATGAAATGGGGGAGCTTTACTTGTGAGTTTTGTTCAGTGAACAGCCATCCCTCTTCATCTTCTAAACTCACAAGTAAATGTCCCCCATTTCATCTTCACCGAACAAAACCTCATTCTTCCGTAATCTATGCACTACATAGTACAAAACACCATTTATTATTACCCATCTTTTCATTGTTTTATTGTTCAGATCACCGCCATTCTTCAGTGCTTCGGTAACACCTTGACACATTTTACAGGAACCGGCAGGCCCAAAGTACCCTCTTCTAATGTTCGACAGAATTATGTAATTACCCATGGGGATTCTCCATTAGGCTACATTAATGTGTGACATGTTGGCATGTTCATTTATACTTCCGACGTGACAGGTTTGAAATTTTCCATCCACTCCGACTTACAATGGGGGATCCTGTAGCTTTACTAGCCAAAAGGCTCAGTAGCCGTGTTGATGAACTCCTGTGTGATTCCTCACCATTTGAATTGTTCACACAGAACAACATTGACGAAAAATTACTACAGAGAGCCAAGTAAGCAATTTCTAAGTTGTTTTTCTGCGCCACTCAACAGCCGTAATTTAAGGACCAGATTGTGGAATCAGTGGCAGAACATTCTACTGTTTGCTAGTGGCGATAGTGGTACTAATCTGACGATCATTACTGATATTGAAATTTCCAGGGCCGCAGTAATCATTGCTTACGCAGCAGTTAATAGTTGTACGTCTTTATTTGATTTTTCGACTGTACCCGAATTTGAATATTTGACTGCAGTACAAACAGATTGGGATGTTGATCGATTTTCGGACTCTGCTAAAGCCTCCCGAAATACAAAACAAAGAAAGAAACTAGCCAAGTATTTCAAAGCTTCTTCATTTGGTCACATAACCGAGCCCACCACATTGGTTGATAAGCATGGAAGAATCCTAGCTTGGTATCTCCCCAAGATCCTGATGCCCGACCGAATGGTACGACTCTCACGAATATGAAAACCCTATTTTAAACTGTTTATAATCTAGGAACACATCAACGAGTCCATCAAGATACTCAGACCTGTCCTTGATCACTCTTTGCCTAAGCCAACGGAACAGGCAAAACAGCCTTGGTGTTCACAAGGCTTTGTCATACCCTCTGGCGGAGGAGAATTTGGAGCAGGATGGGTGACTATGTGCCCTGGTGGTTTCATGCAACATCATGAAGTGAGATTTTTTTCATATCCGATTCACAAGACAAAAGTAACTCAATCGAGTGAGCGGCTTCAAGATCTTTTATATCAATCAACTTCTCTGTCGTCACCCATAGTTCAATATTGATTGTCTGAAATCACAGCAACTGAACAATTCTGGTCCACTATCACCAGTATTATTGCACCCCATCAGTATCTTGCCGGCATGCAATGTATTTCTAGCCTGAAGCAAGTGGTCAAGACTTCAAATCCAGTTGTTTGGCCCTCAGATTTTTCTGGAATTGAGGTGATTGTCAACCGGGAGACACTGTATCATCGCGATCCAGGAGCATCACCATCATTTTATGACCTTTTGGTGAGCCTCGGAAAAGGTCACCAGGCTATATTGGATCTGCCTGATGTGGGTGCCGAGCTACAATATGACCCTGGGAGCATGGTTTACATTTGTGGTAAGGTACTGGAGCATGGGGTCCCAAGGTGGCGTGATGGGGAGAGGATTGTAATCGCCCACTTTGTCAAGGACAAAGTTCATGATGGGCAGAGTATTCCTAGACCGATGTTTCCAACGGACTTGGAATTTCTCATCAAAGTGGGGGCAGGTAAAGGAGGAAAACCTGTTAGTAGGAAGAAGGGCAGAAAGAATGGGTTGAACAGGGGAGAGTCCAGAGGTAGTAAGTAGAGACAGTTATTCATTTGTGATAGCCAAGATTTTTGGATTTGATTAGACAAATTTTTGACTATACACTTCATTTCACATTATCATTCCTTGGTTGAAACATCATGTCTGGGCAGAAAAAAAATTGTCTTAAGGCTGTTTCTTATTCTTTCAAACACAGAGGTAGCCTATCCAAAAAGAAAGACCTGGACGTAGACTATGTTGCCTACAAGCCTACCAGAGACAAGAGGGGAAAGTCCTCATGGGTCGAATCCTGTGCAGATCCACTGTATGAAACATCAATGGACCCTTCCTCCCCCAGCAGCCCAAGGAAACGAATGAAAGAGAACCATGCAGAATTTGTGGATGTCGAAGCCTCTCAGGAAAGTTTGGGTGACTTCATTCTGGACACAGAGGATGGTCACCAACCAAGAAAAACAAAGGTGTGTCTAGTAGTTTCTAACTCACTGATAAAAGTTTTCTCATGCATGCTATAGACACAAAATGACTTCATAGCAGAATATCTTCATTATCGAGATGTATATCTAGATATAATTCTAGATTCAGAACAATTTGCCTGTGCAGGGATCTGCGAGACATGTCAGAGTGCTGAGGCCACATTCAATTGTGTAACCTGTGCTGGTGACCATGGGTGGTGTCGTCCTTGCTTGATCAGATCGCATCAGTCATTACCTTTCCACAAAATTCAACTTTGGAACAACATGTGCTTCCAGGACGTCACTCTTGCTGACCAAGGATTCATATGGTACTTAGGCCATGGAGGAGAGCCTTGCCCTTCATATGGAGCTTCGAAAATTCACGGGGATCAAGACGGGAGAGTAGATGATATTACAGAGACAGGCCCCTTACCTCAAGATACCACCCCTGTGACTATTGTACATTCATCAGGAGTGTTCACACACAACGTATCGTGGTGTCATTGCCAAGGATCCGATCCTCAGCACCTGCAGCTCCTGAGAGCACGGCTATTTCCTGCCAGCTCCACACAGCCCAGGACTGTTTTCACCTTCAAAGTACTGGATCATTTTCTCATTGACACCTTGGAATGCAAGACTTCAGCCAGGAGCTTCTTTGAGAAACTTACAAGGTTGACAAATAATGCATTTCCAGATACTGTACCAGTGAGTGAGAAATCTATATTTGTAGTTCAAAATTCCAATGGCATCTGTAGGATCATTATCGTGAACTCATGAGAGTATCTCGACTGTGGAGAGACTTGAAGAACCGTAAATGGTTTGGATTTGGCCATAATATGAAATCAGGACCTGGCCCAGGAGATCTTGCCCTTTTCTGCCCTTCATGTCCTCAGCCAGGAATCAACATGCCTCTTGATTGGGAGCAGAAGTATGAAAGGCAAGTCAATTATTATTACTGGTACAGCGAAACCATAGCTAGACAGTGGCCGGTTGGTTGCTACATGTCGTATACACTCATGGCTGTTGAGCAAGGTGAACTCTGGCCAGTACACATTGTACATAGGCCAGTAATGCTGCAGGCTGGACATATGTGTGTATTTACCCTGGCCAGTACACCTGGTACAGTGGCCAGTACAGATCTTGGCCAGGTTTTTCCTAAACCTGGCCAGCCAACGTATGTGTGGTGCTGGCCGAGGTCAAATAGCAGCAGAGGATGCTGGCCAGGACTGATTGTACAGCTAGTGCAGGTAGTCCAGCCGGCTGTCACCATTGTGCTACAATACTATGTGCCTTGTAAAGTGCACTCTGGCCAGACTGTCTTGGTTATGAAGAACTCTCCAAAGAATTATTATAGTTCAATAATGCTAATTTTGGATGTCCAACACAGGTGGCTTGTCTGAACATGAGACAGCCGAAAGAGGACATATTCCTCTCAGATGGTTTAGGTTATATGGTCACAAAGGGAGAATATCAAGCTCACTTGGCCTCAGCTACAGAGAGTAGGGAGGTGAGTTGGGTTGTGTTCATTTTACAAGTATGCTGAACAAGTTGGAAGAGGTCTACTTGTAGCAACCATCGTGCAGTCAATGCAGCAAATACAAACCGAGGAAACCTCAGAACTACAGGGGTGGGGGCCACTGCTTGTGCAAGGCATGGATGTTTCATTCCCCACTCTGTAGTAGACTTTCAGAAGGGCAAATGGCAAGTCTTATTTAATATACTACTGATTGACCGACTTGATGACAAAATCACGTCAAGCCACATGAATATAGATTACTCCATATGCAATGCTATTAAGCATGCTGCAAGAGGAATCAATGACTCCCTGGTAATTTATGATGTGGGCTGCCAGTGGAGTCTTCATTTTTCAGAATGTGTCAACAACTGCTCTAGCTTGACCCTCCCTGATGACACAGAGATTGTGGTTGCAGTGGGAAAATTTCATCTCAGCACTCACAAGCTTGCTGGTTTTCCCAGATACAGCCTGAACTTTATTATAGGAGCTGGGCAGGTTGATGGGGAAATTCTAGAGACACTCTGGGCTCCCTTCAATAAGATTTCTCCAACAGCACGTTCTATGAGCCAAGCCCACCGTCAAGAAATCCTTGATGATCACATGCATAACTCAAATTGGAAAAAACTTGTCCAAATTGGTGAGTGCCTATATTTGGAATCAATTAAAAATCAGTTAAACGGCACATACAGTTAAGACGCTCTTGCAAAAGTACAAATGTGCCAATAAGGGCATCGATGACACTAAGGTGCCATTCCAAGAGCTCACACATTCCTTGGAAGTCAGTAAAGTCTCCTCATGGGAGAAAGATGAAAAACGAGCTATGGAACAATATGGAGAGCATCTTGACATATACCAACTACAAATAGATAAAGGTGAGTTGTTCCTAGGTTCTTTTCATTTTCACATGCTGTTCATTCTGATGCGGTGATTGGAAGCCCCAACAATGGCAGAAATTTGGCTAAAATTAACCGAAACAGAATATGCTAATACTAGCAAATGAGGATCGATATCTTTACTCACCAGTGGTATCAATTTGGAGAATGCTCAGTATGTCATTATATCACCTTCATTTAAGGTACATCTCAATTTTGCTTTAGGGATGCTTTGAGGGGAGATATTCGAAAGCTTCCCAAAGATGCATCTGCCACTCAAAAGGCAGTAGTTGAAGAAAAACGACAAAAACTGGCAGCAAGGATCTCGAAATTTCATGAAATGGCTGATGCCATGACAGAAGGCATCGAAGTTGACACAGGTATGGAGCACATGGATGACGTCAGATTTTGTACTGCAGATATGGAGGAAGAAGAGAGGGAAGCAGCAGATCCCAAAGTGACTTCTGAAGAAATCTGTGAAGAAGTTGTTGCAGAAGCCATGCGGATCTGGATGCCTAGGTTCTCTACAAGCTGAAGAACTGCAGTTACAGCAGGGTCAGGCAAATGATTGCTTGGAAAAGTTACGGCAGGCTCTCGGCCACAAAGCCATAATTTACCGTCAACATTTTAGAAGTGCAGATTCCACGTGGGTGGGTACCAGGTCAAAGCAAGAAGCTCGACGATGTCAGATTAAAATCGATCAGTGTGTTCGAAGCTATCAGAGGGCCAGGAATGCACTGCAGAGACTAGAAGTGGATGAAGATACTCTGAAGAATGTTTATCAAGAGATTCAGCCAAGTCAGCTTAATGTGAACAAGGAAGTCACTGAGGAGAACAGATATGGGCAGGGATCAGACAGACTAGCTTGGTTTTGGAGGGTGAACAATGGTCATGATTCTCCTGAAGATGTATGGATGGATGAATGTGAGTCATGTTTCATATTCATTCATTATTACATGACAAGTATCAGTCTACAGGCTAAATTGGTTGAAAGCTAAGGCTCGATGGCAAAGGTGGGAGGAGGAGTTGAGTTTGGTTCAACATGAGATGGGGTGGACAGTGGGTTGGTTTAGATACAAGAAGGAAGAATGGGAATGAAGATACCATGAAGCCACAAAGCATGGTCATCAAGCCTATGCACAACGACAGGTGCTCCTGTGGGGAAGGTTTTTAGTGAATGCAGAAAATTCATTCAAGGACAAAATGGTTGTAGTCACTTAACAGTTGTATTCCTAGACTATTCTAACTGAAGTATGTGGCAGGAATATAATAGACATGGTGTACTGATGGTCCAACCGGACTGATTTTCCTTATGTAGACATCGGTCAGAACACCTTCTACAGCATACTGTACCCAATTACATGATGTACTGATGGTCCAGCTGGACTGCTTTTCCTCATGTAGACATCGGCCAGAACACCTTCTACAACATACTGTATCCAATTACATGGTGTACTGATGGTCCGGCCAGACTGCTTTGCCTCATGTAGACATCGGCCAGAACACCTTCTACAGCATACTGTTGCCAATTACATGGTGTACTGATGGTCCGTGTTACAAGTAACATCGGTCACGTGGCCCCCCTATCATTTTCCCTTCATCCTCGCCCTCACCATCTACCGGCTCGTCCTCCTTTACCGACTTTCCGTTGACCGGATCCTCGGGACCGTTCCCGTCCCTCGCATCACCCGCCTCTATGCACGTGCACGCACGTTCCTCCCCTGATTCGACCACCAATGTGGTCCCACACCTATGACTCGGTCTGACTCGTGCCACCAATGTGGCTTTCCTCTTTCTGTTCCCTCTGACTGCGGATTCCCGCACGTTGTATTCTTACCGTTGGTCCGTTCCAACGTTTCTCGGTCTCATTCCACATTCGACCACCCATCACTAATCCGGCTCTGTTGCCAACGCACCTATACCATTCTCGTTTCCCCTCTACCCTTACCTACTGTGCGGTAGCCTTGCCCTTAACCCTCTCCACTTAGTATAAGTAGTCGGTCACCATGTACTAGATTCCCTAACTTGAATCTACTCAATCTTCCCTGGAACATACTTCCCTCTGAACGCCCCTTTGGCTTCAGTCTCTAGTATCTTTTCTTAGTTGCTCATCGCGACTAAGTCTACTTTGATCGACCTCATCATACGGACAAGACAGTCCTTACCTTGAGCGACTTCATAGACATCCATCTTAGAAGTCACGTGACACGCGCGTACTGTGATCACTGCCGACTCGTCGTCGCCAGTATCACTTGCTATACCGGATCCTTCCGGTTACGTCACGAACATTAGCGGACGACGCCCCTCTTAGGGCTCCACCTAACAGATCTATTTGAGTGCGTAACAGTCCGGCCGGACTGATTTTCCTTATGTAGACATCGGCCAGAACACCTTCTACAGCTCATACTGTACTGTATTTTTGCTTGTATTATTCTAATTATAATAGTAAAAAACAAGTCTGATTGGCAAGCTAGTTGTTTTTTTTATTTATGTGCAAGTCGGCCAGGATGATATCTACAACTTATAGTCCTAATATAGTATTTCTTGCCTTGAAAGTGGTAGAGTAGCTCTTGGACACCACCTTCAACTTGCATGCTTACTATGTGCAATTGTCTAACCCCCATTCTGCATGTGTACTTTTGCATGACAAAGACCCAATTCTCACACTATCATCCCTATACACTGGCCAGCACTCACTCTAGGCATCAGCTAATACCTACCCTATGCACCAGCCAGCACCTGGCCAGCACTCACATTACATACTGGCCAGCACCCATTGTACATACTGGCCAGCACCTACCCTACAGACTGGCCAGCACCTACCCTACAGACTGGCCAGCACCTACCCTACAGACTGGCCAGCACCCATTGTACAGACTGGCCAGCACCTACCCTACAGACTGGCCAGCACCCATTGTACAGACTGGCCAGCACCTACCCTACAGACTGGCCAGCACCCATTGTACAGACTGGCCAGCACCTACCCTACAGACTGGCCAGCACCCACTCTACATACTAGCCACACCAACTAGAGGTATCGGCCACCACCACCACCACACCTCCGGCCGGTCACTATCTACATATACTGGCCGGTACACATTGTACAACCATTTGGAACGTCCGGAGTACCGGTTCTACGTGTGGTTCTGACTGAATTATGTGGTAGTAGATCGTCCATTGCAGTTTTGACTGAATTATTTTATTCCAGATGTGTTACAGTTGTGTTTTCTGTACAGATTATCTTTTGCAAATATCTTTCAAAGTCCGTTATAATCTATTCTGCATTATTTTGCCTACAGATAGTCACCCAGTAGTAGAAGGCTATGGATAGATCGTGGGTGTCTAACACTAAGCAGCAGTTGCGGTCATTGAGGGTTTTTTGGGCATCGTGAAAATGCTGCGCCACTGCTGCGACTTGCTGCGGCAACTGCCGCGACCGCTGCTGTGGTGTTCCCAAATGGTGTCTGGTGAGTGCACATTAACTACACTTACTGCTAATCACTGGAACCTCCCAGTGCTTGTCCTCCACACGAGCCATGGACTCAAGCATGCTCCAATTCCTCATATGTATATCCACGCTCCCAGAGTCATGGTCATGCAATATCACTGTAGAAATGCTTGATGAGTGGTGGACATGCTTGTAAACAGATACAGAACCTGAGTACTTGCTACCTCAACGATGACTCCCACACCCACATGGGTTCATTTTACTGCTCCAGGTTGGCCAAAAGGGAATATCATGGTTGCTACCAAACAGATATGTAGTACAAGCTTCACAGTAAGTTCATACAGTTGTCGATTGTCGGTCGATAGCCTTTCGTTCTGGCGATCACTTCGTCCATCTCCAAGTTTGCGACGTGTTCGCTCGTGTCTGGTTTCCATATTTGGATATTACTTTCTGTCGTGATGCCAATATGTTCACCAGACAACGAATACCGAATGCAGCGAACAGGATCTTCACATTCGATCAAATCTTCTTGCTGCCACGTTTTTGTATTCCACAGCCTCACTGTCTCGTCGTGTGAGCCGCTGGCCAGGATTGTGTCATCTGGGGAAAAGTCCAGCGATGGGATCCAATCGGTGTGGCCTTTGATGACTTCAGTCAGAAGTTCGCCAGTGTCTCCATCCCAGGCGATGAGCTTTCCGTTCTTGCCGCCACTTGCTATCAATTTCCCATCTCGTGATATCACCAATACCAACACAACGACGTTATGCTGTTCCATTTTCTTCAATGTAGCACCTCTTTTCATGTCCCACAGGCGAAGAATCTTATCTTCCGAGCCCGTCACCATCCTTCGTCTATCGGGAGAAACTCCAACACTGGATACAGATCCATGGTGACCTTCAAATTCTTGAACGGGTATAGTACTTGGAATGAGAGATGTCATTTTACTGGAGGTTGAGAGTCTGTTCGGCCACCAATATTTGCGCCAGTTTACAATCTATATTTTGCTTTCATAATCATAGGACCGTGCTGGTCACAGTGTGACCAACCTTATTAATCAATCAATACTAAGTAGTAGGCATGCCCGTTACCCATCTACAATCTATCCATCATCGCAACTCTTACAGGATGTCTCGGGGCAGAAAAAGTGCCCGTGGTGGTGCAGAGCTAACGGAAGCGAGAGATCAGTGTGTGTGGACGGAAGCAGACGAAACCATCCTCATCCAGTATGTCACCACCAACCGCTCACAAGGTGGTGATGGTATGAACTTTGATCACACGTTTTGGGTTGCTGCTGCCGCTGAAATGGAAAAACACCCCTGCTCGGGTGCAAGCAAAACAGCGGTAGCATGTCAATCAAAATGGGGGCGGGTATGTACTACTACTATATCAGCCTTGGTACCCTCACTAATGATCGAGTTTCAGCTCCGTGGTACATTCAACGTCGTCGACAAAGTGGCCAACGCTTCCGGACTATCTTACAGCATGGAACATGGAGCTTCAATCACTCCAGAGTCCGAAAACATGTGGACCGACTTTGTGAAGGTAAAGTGATTTTAATTCGCATCAAACTACTACGACAATGCTAATTACTATGAATCAATAGAAAAATCCAAAGGCCAAAGGCCTCCGGGACAAGGGTTGGAAGCACTATGAGGCGCTGAAAGGTCTCATACCTGTCAAGCCAGGTAACAACAACTCGTTCTTTGCCACCATCGTGACACCACCTCCCATCATTCCTTCGCCTTCTTCTAGCAGCGCAGTCACCCCCCTTTCCTTTGACAAGGTCCATATGATGGACCTTGGAGATGCGCTCGATGGGATCGAGTTCCCCGGCTCTATTTCAGGCGGCCAGCGCGCAACCCCCCTCACCCCAGAGAGCCTCCCTCCATTCGACGCTGCACAGCAACCCTCCCTTGAGTCGGTCCGTGTTAGTGCGCCATCATCAACAGCTTCCGGTAAACGGAAGCTGATTGATGATGACGAAAGTACGCTTGATATCGTTACCCGCCCCCCACATTCAACGAAATCGGGAGACTCGGCAAAGTCTGCACGCCTGACGATGCCTGTGGCCATCCAGCATATGGGGACTAATATTGGCGGTCTTAACACGACATTAGAGCGCGCGGCCAATGCTCTTGAGGCCAACACCTCCAACACCTTGGCGCGATCAGTAGATCCCATCCCTTTGCGCAGGCAGAAGGCGGTGAAAAAGTTGCAGAGTGAGGGTCTAGAGGACGTACAACTACTCAATATCTTGAATAAATTTCAGGCCGACATCGCTATCATTGATATTTATCTCGCTATTGAGGTAGATAGTCTTCGGCGGTTGTTTTTAGAGCAGCATTCAAAGTAGTGTTACATGTATTCTTGTCGTGTCGTGTTCTCTTGTATTGTACTTGTAGTAGCAAAGCAATATCACTATTTCTATGATCATAGTCATCGATAAGGGTCCGGTCTTGATCTGACAACAATGTCATCATTTGACGGAGATACTTTGGATCATAGTCATCGATGTGGGTCCGGTCTTAATCTGACAACAATGTCATCATTTGACGGAGATACTTTGGATCATAGTCATCGATGAGGGTCCGAACGGCTATGGTATTAACGCGACTACAGTACTAGTGGTTCTATGATTGCCTGCTCCCCCCTCTGAATCCTTTCCCTGTTGTAGGCCTCCCACATCTCACTAGCAATCTGGTCACGACGGAGGCTCGCACGAGTGCGTGCGTGCTCAGTAGGAGGACCGTTAGCAAGGTTTCCAGTGTCAGTGAGAATGTGCGCATCTAACACATTACGATAGTCCATCATGTCGTTTGGATCGTGAACTCGAATAACGTTGTGCACGAGACACAAGGCAGGAGGAATGCGCGCTTGAATGTCCATTTTGTACTCTGGCGGGAGGAGAAGGATACGAAATTGGCGCTTGATGACACCAAAAATGCGCTCAACAGCATTTCAAAGCATTGCATGACGCAAATTGAAAAGTTCTTTGCGATTACGAGGCCTATGTAATGATGTGAACATAAGTATGAATGGTACTAGCAGAACGCATCATACAAAGTATTAGCACGACCCCACTCTGCAAGATGATAACGCACGCCCCGAAACGGGACCAGAAGCTCATCGCACGAGCCAAATCCAGCGTCCGCAAGATAATACTTTCCCTCAGGGATATTGAAATCGGTAGTACGAGCATCGTGATAGACACAAGCATCTGCAGCTGACCCCTCCCAACCGCTCAACATGTAGGTAAACAAAAGGTTGAATGAACATGCCGCGAGGCAGTTTTGAGAGAAGTTCCCCTTGCGATCCCGAGCGGCATGCCGATCTTCACCAAAAGGATGGCATGCGATGTGTGTACCGTCAATGGCTCCGATAGCGTCAACAAAGAACGGGAAGAACTTCGGGTTTTTCGTGATTTCGGGGGGAGGAGGGCTATCTACGTCGGGCAGGCGGACGTATGTCGTATATATCGGTGGCGAGGAGAATGCGAAAAGAACCCGTTTAAAATACCTGAAAGAACATAAGCTTGATACCAGGACAGCAACAATATACGTACTTTGATATTGTTTCATTGGACCGCTGAAAGCGTTCACCAAGATGGCGAATCGAGAGACCCATGACAGACGCATAGAGAAATATAGCAAGCTGCTCTTCTAGCAGTACATGCCTGGAATCTCTGCATCCTGCTTGCCGAAGGAGATTGATGAGCACATAGAAAACGTGCTTGTGGATCCCGAGCTCGCATCTGATGCATTCAGGGTGTCCAGTGAGAAGTTCGGTGACCCATGCAGTCCCCGACAAAGCGGAGGTATGATACGGCTCTTTGTCGTAGTAGGTGTTTGAGTAAGCTTCGAGCGCGGTAGTTGTTGTGTTGAGGACTGTAATGACCGTGTGCATAGCATGCATGGCCATCTGCATGATGCATGCCAGATACTTCTTATCACTCTCCTCTGCATCGTTGTCCATATCCTCTGCCTCCACAAGGTCGTATTCGTCCTCGTTAGCGTCCTCGTCGTAATCAGGATCAAGAGGCATTGTATTGATAGTAGGATAAGGCATATGGTAAGCGTTATCGGAGCGTGACATCTTGTTCAAGCTCCGACGATTAGCAAAGCCAGAACCAAATTCTAACTTGCGCAAATAATGGTGGCCGAACAGACTCTGAAACGTTGATGGTGTAGGTTTGCTAGAAGGCTTTGGAGAGATCGTGGGTGTCTAACACTAGGCAGCAGTTGCGGTCATTGAGGGTTTTTCCTGATCTGGATTTCATTGTTATCATAGACGCCTTGGCATGTTCTTCGGATACCATGGTCGACTGTCATTGCAGCTGATGCAAGTGCGTTTTGTTTTAAAATCAAGCCTTGCCCTACGCGTGGTCCCAACTCGTGTTTCTGTGTCATAACAATTTCAAATGAGCGCCACCGATAATCTAGCCTTTCCGAGTCAGCCGTAGGTGCACCCGGCGGTGAACGTTTGAACCCTTTGTGATGCGGTATCGCGGGTACGTGACGCTATATAGAAGTGCTCGATGGTTGGCCAAAAGGGAATATCGTGGCTGCTACCAAACAAATGTAGTACCACAACCAGACAGATATCTAGTACAAGCCTCACAGTAAGTTTATATGTACAGTACTAGTTGTCGTCGGGTCGATAGCGTTTCGCTCATCACAACTTATTAGTAACATAAAGTTCAAATTTAAAGCCCGCGATTGTTAGTACCTCAGTACTGAGCGTAGTCAGCCCATTCAAAATCGTATATCTGCACTGGATTTCAGCAAACCACTATGCCAGCTACACGCAAAGTTATGCCTCGCAAGCGCGCTCAGTTATCCAATGAAGATTCAGAGCCCGAATCTCTTCACAGCGACGCGCTTGACGACCTGCCGCCCAAGAAACGCACGCGTTCTTCCAATTCCAAATCCAGCTCACCTTCGAAACCCAAGCCCAAGCGTAAGAAACGCAAAGCCAAGGAAGATGATATCAAAGATGAAGAGGATGTAGATGATAGCGATGTAGACCTGAAGGAGGGGCAGCAAGTTGTAGGTCGCGTTGTACAAGCTCCAAAGACAGGCTGGGGTAAGTCGGTCCTTTCCTCCCTCAGGGATGATCAACTTACCAGTTTTAAAGTACCTCCTGGTCAGGTTTCACAGAACACGCTTGATTTTCTAGCGAAACTCAAAGACCCTGCGTGTAATGACCGTGAATGGTTTGCACTTCTATCACGGCCCTCGTTCATCCATTATTGACTGAAAATAATCACGCGCTCCTAGGTTTAAGCTACACGGTATGCAGGGTTTATGCACTAGGCTGAAGCTCTGAGCTTATTTGTCAAACAGAACCAGTTTACCGTCGCGTAGAAAAGGAGTTCAAGGCGTTTATCGAGGCGTTCACCGACATGCTCACAGACGTTGACTCTGAGATCCCTCCGTTACCCCCTAAAGACGTCACCCATCGCATATATAGAGATGTTTGTCCCTTACATGTTTCCTTCCGTGGATCTGCGGACCTGATATCGTGTGCGTAGGTCCGCTTCAGCAACGATAAAACACCATACAAGAAGGGACTATCTGCGAGTTTTTCGAGGAGTGGCAGGAAGGGGATTTTTGCATTTTGTGAGTTTCGCAGCATTTTGCTTTCGCTGCAGATATCTAACTGTTCGTAGATCACGTGTACGCACCTCTTAGCATGAGGGTCGGATAAGCTGACTGGATATATGCACGTTGTTTTCTTACACAGAATGAGTCAGTCGTAGCTGGAAATGCTGGATCGGTATACGCTGACATGAATGACAATTAGTCAAGCCGGGTGACGAGAGCGTCATCGCTGCAGGTGCATGGTGTCCTGCGAAGAACGAACTCTCGACTCTTAGGTATGTCTTGTCTCACCTTTGTTTCCGTGGTTCTGTTCATGCTTTCCATTGCCTAACAGAAATCACCTACTTCGTTCCACACCCGCCGCTAAGACTCTGCACACAATCCTGGCTTCTAAAGCATTTACTACCCATTTTGGCCCTCCCCGTCCACACCCGAATGGAGATCGTCAGGGTGTGTTTGGGCATGAAGATGAATTGAAGGTGGCACCGAAGGGTGTGGATAAGAATCACAAGTGCGTGGAGTATCATTCGAGTCATAAAAGCTAATTGATACACTATGCTACGCATTTTCTAGAGATATAGCCCTCCTCAAATGCCGCTCCCTCGCTGTTTCCTATCGGTTCACAGATGCACAAGTCGTTGCACCCGGATCCGAGTTTATAGATGCACTACGTGGGGTTGCGGATGTGATGACGCCATTTGTCCATTGGTGAGTGCTGTTACTTACCGTTCCTGGATCAGAGGCGCCATTCGCACCGAGTGCTCCATTTTGAGTATTACTTTCGGAGTACATGGACTGATATCATTTGCTGTAGTTTGAATGATCTGATGACGCTTCCTGTGGACGACAGTTCTGATGAAGAGAACGAGGAAGATGATACTGGGGATCCGGAGGAAGATGAGTGAGGACGGAGATGTATAACGAACGGGAAGTTTGGATTCATTTACTACAGCTGAGCTGGCTGTTCAAATATTACCGGTGTTAATTTTCTCAGGTATCTTACTGTCATTTAGTATACACGATGTAACCTATTTTGCACATACACGATGGTGATTGTGTCCACCTCATCACTCACCGGCACCAGTCTGGTGCTGGGCTTTGCCAGATAAATAGTAACTTGACTGTCGGGGCAAGAGCCTTGCGGGGAAAGCCGGACGGATATCACTCGCCGTTTCTTGCACCCACTGAGCGCGCGGACTGTCAAATCAGCCAATGTGACCATTCTGTGACGAGATGCACGAACGTTAACTGGTGATAGAGCCAATGGCTTATAAGTAGCTGGTTTACTTATTCAGGTGATATGTCATCACACTATGCCAGGTACCGTCTCACTCCAACCCACTGCAATCCCAATTATCGACTTTGCATGCTTCGGGGATGGTACTTCCCCAGTACGTACAGTGCTCACAATGCACATGCGATGATAATAACTGAAGCTCCTTTTTTGATGTGCAGGAAGCGACAGAGATAGGAAAGCAACTAGTGAAAGCGTGTCGAGAAGTCGGATTTGCATACTTTCGCAACACTGGTATTCCTCAGGTGGAGGTGGATTCCATGTTTGAATGGGTGTGTACATATCACCGCGTGTGCGAGATTCACCCCAATGAATGAGTGTGCATCAAGAGCAGGAAATTATTCTCGCTTCCAATCGAAACAAAGCTATTGGCTCCGCATCCTAAAGAGGGATGGAAACACCGGGGATATAGCGGGGTATCATGATGTTGTTCTGCATTACATGGCAACATGTCCTAACGAATGTCTCATTCAGGTTGGTAGGGAGCAAATTTCACAAATGGTACGTCACAGCGTCATCCAAACTACCAATATCCTGACTCGCGTAGGTGTTCGACCCAACGCAGCTCGCCGAGATAAGGAAACAAACTCCCGATTTCAAAGAATCATTTGATATTGGACGCAATAATTGCTCGCACATCTCCAATGTGTGGCTCCCAGAGGAAGTCCTTCCGGGCTTCAAAGACGCAGCATCTACTTTCTTTGATACATGCCGTCGCTTTGAGATCGAGAAGTTGTTGCCTGCATTATCTCTAGGACTCGAGCTCCCTGGCGGAGGCAAATTCCTGGAGAAATACCACCAAGAAGCAGAGAATCAACTGCGATTATTGCATTATCCAGCTATGCCTGCAGAGGCATTCGCACGCGGTGAGAAAGGGAGAATCGGTGCACACACGGTATGCGATTATTTGACCAGCATTGATTGCGTGTCACCAATAATGACCGATAGGATTATGCAATGGGCACGATTTTGTTTCAAGATGATGTTGGGGGACTTGAAGTTGAGAGCCCTCATGGTTCAGGAGATTTCGTTGCTGTGTCACCCATTCCGGGCACTGTTGTTTTCAATATAGGAGACTTTTTGATGCGGTGGTCAAACGGTACGATTCTCTTGAGCGGCTACTCTTCGCCACATGGCTATATACTCTGTTTGATTCAGATACCCTTAAATCAACATTGCACCGCGTGCGTGCGCCCCCGAATGATGGAAAGTTGGAAATGATCAAGGAGCGCTTCTCGATCCCATATGTAAGCTTCCTGCAGACATATGATGTGTGTTTCATATTGATATTGGATTAGTTTATGTCTTCTGACAGAGATATTTTGATTGACTGCCTCCCTGGCTGTTGGGACGAAGACAGGCCGAAGAAGTACGAGCCTGTGACAGCAGGGGCGTATATTGACATGCGGCTTGATGCTACGTATTGATGATTTACCGGCATGGAATGATTCTGTCTGAATGTTGAATGGATGGTGAAGGTCTTTCCCTGGACCTTTTACTTATTCCGATTTAGCCATAACGTCTGTACCTTCTGATGATGTCATTCGTTGGTCATCTCGGTCATTATCTAAAAATGCTGGTGCGCTGCAATGATCCAATTTGCTCTGCCACGTTAATACCATCGAAATCATTTAGATATTCATATCACCGACCGATACATGGGCGCATTACTCCCCAGATCCCAATTTAATCGGCTACACTACTGCGCACGGCATATAGCGGGAGCCTTGTCAGTTTGTGGAATAGGTGGGCTTTGCAAGATGAAACAGATAGTACTACCTTGGGACTTGCACCGAAAATGCTAAAGCCACCGTCGCAAATGTAGCAGTGGTATTTCCAACCAAATCGCGCACCAGTGGCATATCGCGAGCATCCGATCGGCTGCCGGCAGCTCAAATTTGAGGTTTTCATTTTGTTTCACGAAGAAGCAGGGGAATCGCACCATGCACATTTCTATGACACTCGACGAACAAGTGGCGAAGAGTTTTCAAGCACTTGACCCAAAACGGGACACGAAGAAGGCATCCAAAACGAGTTACAAAGAGGCAGGGAAAGGAACGCCGGGGTACTACTACTTACCGCCTTGAAGCTCGAAGGCCGGATCGACTGTACCACCACGCTACGAGAGTAAGTGAATCATCGAGCTTTTACTGGAGGAGAACACGACTCGGAAGTATGATTTGAAATAGAAAAATAGCGGCAGGGCTAGGAGAGAATGATAAAACGAATGTAACCAGCGATAAGGCGAACACGCAAGCAGTACGACCGGGAGTAAGTATCATTGGTAGATCTTGAAAGGGGAGAGACAGGACTACCGTCACAGCTATAGAACTAATTACGTGGACAGCACAGCGTTCACTACTTAGTAGTACTGTTCGGCATGCATGTTTGAGCGAGCTAGCAAGGCAGATAAGACCATATGCTTCCCCGTGAAGAATCATGTCATCAGTACTCTATCGCGGCTGTGCGCACGTAAGTTCGTATGTAGTATTATGTAACATTGGTCTGTGCGCGCTGCGAGACAAGTTCGCACACTGGCAAAGCGGGTATTCGAATTCATCAGACGCAGTGATGTTGTCTCCTCGACGATACTAGTCAGACCTTGATATGCAGAAGCTTGGAAGGCGGTCACGGTCGTTCCTTCTTTATCGAGGCGGTGATGGGCTGTTCAAAATTCCCAATTGACTGATCCGATCAATGCCCCAAGGCATTCCGAAGCACTCCTCGAATCGGATCTGTTGACCCGTTCAAGATTCGCCAGTTGCAGCACTCTTAGCTGTCCGTCCCCGTTCGCAAAGCTTGGCATTTAATCTCGAGTGCTAGTGGCCCCGTTCCACATGCGGTTCCCTGTGATTGATTGATGGCAAGAGTACGTTTAAAAACCTCGGTTTCTCGATCCTGGTCGAGGGTTGGCAATGTTTACCGAATCACCGTCAGAACGCCAGCTCGATGGCATATCCCTCCTGAGCTTAACACTTTTTACAGCCATTTGCTACGGGACTGTATTGACCATCTACATCCAGTGCCTCTTTTCATTGGTCCACAGTCCAATGCGCCGGGCTCCCGGATCACGACTATTTTTCCTTGGCTATACGTCCGTCATGTTTATTCTTGAAACGTTCTATGCTGCTGCAAATCTTCAAAGAGTTTGGATAGCATTCGTTGTAAAGTGGGGCTCGCCCATGAATTCAACGAGTTACGAGATTGATTTATGGAGTGATTGGGCCAGTACAGCAGCAATGGCGTGCTATATCATCTCCAATTGGTTGGCGGATGCGCTTACGGTAAGTCTTAATACCTTCAGTGTCATGTAGGTCCTTGACTCATACCTCTCCTCAGCTTGTGCGCTGTATTATCTTGTTTCGAAACATGAAAAACACAAGATGGCTGATCCCTATCCCATGCAGCGTGTTCCTTGTTGTCATTGGTATCTACTACGATATAAAGCGTTGCCTCCAAAGTAACTGACAATACATTGACAGTGACTTCTATTAGTCTGTTTGTGAATACAACAGAAGTGACCAAGTCAATGGAAGCAATGTCCAAAGCCTACTGCATCTTTGTTGTGGTCGATCTCTCCTTTAATGTTATCACGACGTCATTGATAACCACTTGCATCATGATGCACCGCACGAAGCTCAGGAAATCGACAGGTAAGCAAGCTATGTTGTCTCATTACCCCGATGTACGTTCTTTGTCAGGAACTCATGACCATGGGAGGGAGTACATCAATATCATCGCGATGACCGCTGAATCTTGTATGATTTCCGCGATTAGCCCGATCGTCTATCTCGTCCTCTACGCGATGGATAACTTTGTACAGTATCCACTCATGGTCATCCAGAACCAAATGCAGGTGAGAGATCACACTACATCATGCCATATGGATTTCATTTTCAGCGATGCAGGTCATTGCGTTCTTTGTATTGATCTTGAGAATCATTCAAGGGAAAACGTGGACAAGACGGGCAGATGTTGATATCACTTCTCATTCGCTTCCAAGTGAAGGACTTTCCTTCCAGCGACAGCGGACTTCGTCTTAGTGTTCGTTCTTCTAAGGCATTCACTCTTGTGTTCGCTTACAGAAATCCAGATTACCACTAAATAGCTCCATCACGAGCCTAACATACTGTTACACCTACGTAATGTACAGAACTGTCAGAATATTCACACAGCCCTCTAGATTTTCGTCATGGACTGATTTCTGCAAGCGGCGGAGCAGAAGTAATCTGTTCCAGTCTGTGGGTAGCGTTGGCACATAATGCACCCAGGAACCAGTCCGAGGGTCACTGCTTCTCTGAAGAACATTTTAGTATCTCGTGGCAATCGATCTCCTGTGATCACTTACTCTCGGTGCCGTGTGGAGCAGTAATCTGTCTTTACCCCACCTCTATCAACAAAAGACGGTTTTCCACAGTTGGGGACGAGACAGACACCAGTCACATGACGGGTCGATGTGCTTTGTTTCAGCGGAGCGTGCACAGTCTTGACTGGTCGTGACGGAGGAGCTGGAGTAGGTTCTTCGTCGTCGTCTGATGGATATGCGTCCAAGTCTGTGCCTGTCCCCGTATCGTCTTCGGCCTCCTCATCAGCGTCAGCGTACTCATCGTCATCCTCGCTGGACTCATCTGCGAGTATAAGTAAGTATCGAAATCAGATGAGCGATAATGGGTAACCTTGGGCCACAGTTGCAACTGGGTGGCGCATTGCCGGTTTAGAAGTTTTGGCAGGCTGAGCAGTGGCAGGAAGGCGAACGCCATGCTTTGGAACCGATCGTCCGTGTGCAGGAGGCTGCGCAGAAGGAACGGCAGCGGCTTTCGACGCGCATGATTTACCGCAGTAATCAAAGTTATTGAACTTGGGCTTTTGCCCACAATACTGGAACGAGATGTGTTTCATGACTGTTTGATCATCATGATTCTGCACTCACGTCGCAGAGCCGTCCCGCTTTTTGGGCTGGTGGAGGAACTTTGGCCTTGGGGGTTGGTCCTGATTTCGCGCGATGCGCTGGTTGGTGTACAGTGGCAGCTTGAGCAGCGCACGATTTGCCGCAGTACTTATGAGTACCGAATTTCGGTGCCTTGTGACAGTTCTACGCAGGAAAATTCAAGGATGAACTACTAGTACCAGTAGGGACAGGGTGAGCAATCACTGACCTCGCAAAGTCCAGTAGCCATTGAAGTTATCTGAGCTGCTGCCCAGTTCAAAATTGCGTCGTGGTTTATAGAGGTGGTGGCCATTGGCATGAGGCTGCGGGGGCAGCCTGGGCGTTGGGGTGAGTGGTACCACACCACAACGTGCTGTCCGCATGTCAGTGCACGAGGCTATCTGTCATGGAACGGAGCAGTGGATCTAGCCCAAAGTGAGCAAAAAAGGGCACGCCCTCAGTGATTCTTAGGTCTTCTGTTTGCCTCCGTGCTCCATCGATCAAGGGGAGGCATTGCATGCGGCTAAATCATCATGACCCACATGGAGATCCAAACAGTTTCGGAAAAACTTGGTTTGCGCTCATTCAAGAGACTTAAATACATAAATAATGTCCAAACTAACGAGGATGAGGTTCAAGTCTGCTTCGTGTACATCACGATGAATCTAGGGATGATCGCATCTGACACTCGAACAACTACCCTGTCTCCAGCAACAACCTGCAGATATAACGTCAATGAGAGTTCTAATCTCAAGTTCAAGTCATTTACCGAACTGCTCTTGTCAAGGTGTTGCGGCAAAACAACATCGCAAGCGATCATGACGCGGTAAGGCGAAGATAAGCATGATGTGGCAAACCGATCGGCGGAAGCTGGGTTTCTAGAAGAGTACAGTCCCTTGCCTTGCCTTGACAACGAATAACGATAAATATGCGTCGAGTATGAGATGAAGATGGCTACTCACTTCCCTATACTGTATGGAACACCAAAGGCGACACCTCTAAAAGCGGAGCCCACGACATTGCAGATCCCGCACGAGTTCCACTTGCAAAGCGTGGGACCTTTAGTCCCCATGTCGCAGATACACTGAGATGCGTGAAATGTGCGTAAGATGTGGGCTTGGCCAGTAGCTTGTGAGCCTTGTCTATGGATAGTAACTAAGCCTAGCACTGGGTTCGGTGATAAAGGAGCCACTTACAGATACTTGTCTTGGGCATCGGATATACTCGTCGGATAAGATATTTCATATAACTTTTCTACCAACGCTGATCCTTCCAGGGACAGCCACTTGCTATTCCACTCCCTCACAACTTGAAAAGACGTCAATCAAATAGCATAAGCTTGATTGAAGACATCACGTACATTCTCGCCACACCGTCGCAGAACTGGGAATCTCAGACAAGTGAACAAGATCCGAGGGAGCTTTAGGCTTCGTACGCCCAGTATCAGTGTGGTTATGAGTGTGTAGTTGCGTCTTGGGGCTGGGATGAGCTGACGGGGGAGAAAGAGCATTCCCCTTCCTGTTAACTCTCAATCTCTATCTCAAGAAGCGTTTCTTTATTATGACTTACTTCGCATGGTCAACGGAACAAAACCCATTGAAAGCAGTCCCTGTGTTGCTGCACCCTCTGAGCAGGCATTCAGGCGCTACCTTTCCGACCCCAGTCCGAGCACACGAGCGACCACAATAAGAGTGCTGCGTTCCGCTTGGATCAACATATTTCGGCTTGATACCACATGCCTATCGCCGACAAAGGTTAATATCTTGATAGGAAGAAAGGTGGACCCTGAGACATACCTCACACATAATAGCATTTCGCTGCACAGTGTCTAGAATTGTAGCCATCGTAGGAAATGACGACCTCAGGATCACTCACCAAACAAGATAACTGGCTGCGCATATGGCCCACGTGTAATGCACACCCTACATGCGCGTGAAGCAGCGCCACTACGGCGCTGCTTCCAGCACAGACCATCACTCCATCACGGATCCAGCTTTCCTCGAAGCAGCAACGTGTCGGTAACACATGGTGCATGGGAATAAGAGGATCGCGCCCCATACATAAGTTTCTTCGTATAGAGACCGAAAAATTGTAACATAGTGACGAGTATGAAGCCTACCATGAACCAAGCGGCGACATTGCAATCACCTCGAAAGTCCCAGAAGGCACCGACGCTCAACAAGGACAACAGTACCCAAACAACACTCCTGACGCACTACATGGACCTTGCCCAATCATTTCGGGTCAGCTCAATCGAACCACAGAGTCCCCATAAACTTGACCGGATCAAGAAGGGACTCGAGGAGGATCGTGGATACCTGTCGGATGGCGGCAAAGTTAGTACTACCCCTGCACTGCCGCCCCGAACACCACGTGGGTTGCATCCCCCTCACGCATCGTCGGTGCAACGACCATCAACATCTCCTCAGTCATCCCCACTTGCTACCCGCCCAACTCCGCCTTCCAGTGCGACACTCTCAAATGGGAAGCCAAATAAAATTCTTTTCTATCATGCCCACGACCCATACTATGGGTTCACCAATTTCTCATCTGACCCCATTGATTACAATGGAAAGAAATACCCCACGAGTGAACACCTCTTCCAGTCGCTGAAGGTAAGTGGCTTTACGAACAGCATCATCATCTGATACACTACTCACCACTGCTATAGTTCATGGAACGCCGCCCCGATCTCGCAGAGCACATCAGGACGTGTTCCACGCGCCCGCGTGTGGTATTTGACGAAGCCCACAGGTTCAGTCCCGAAGTGCGATCTGACTGGCTGCAAGTGAGGATTGAGATGGTGAGAATCAGTATCGACTGCAATTGGGTTCAGCTGACGACACAAATGATCAGATGGACTTTGTTCTCTGGCATAAATTCTCGCAGAACAGACATCTGAAGGAAGAACTACTCTCTACTGGAGATGCAGAGCTTGTCGAGGTTAGTAGATCTAGACCGTGAGGGCCATGACGAAGTTTAATTATACACCACAGGATTCTGATAAAGACTCATTTTGGGGTATTGGAGTAGACCGAAAAGGCCAAAACCAGTTGGGCAAGGCTTTGGTGAGGCTTAGGACCAAGTTGAGGGACGAGCAGAACAATAGTGCAGGAAGCAAAGCTTTGACACTTTTGAGGAAGACTGTTGGACGTTGATATCGCATAGAAACGTTGAAATTGTATATCCTCATCCTGGTTAAAGCATATGGCTCTGTCGGCAGGCTAAATGGATCGCCCAGACGGTGAGATGACGTAGGGGGTGCAACTTGTAAACTTCAAGTACTTGAGTGGGCCCGTGGGGGCGGCCCCCACTCAAATGCAAGTGACAGTCAATTGTGATTACATAATAATACAGCCCATCGGACCCGAGCAACTGGAGGGCATCTGGGAATTCGAATTTCCGGGTCCGTCCGGCCGAGTCCGGCTGGATCTGTCCGGCTCACAATTTGTATTCAAAGCAGTCCAGAACTCGTGAGTCTCCCCCCTGAGGGTGCTTTATGTTGATTGCGGTGGTTTTCCGACGTTCTACATGGCTTTATGACTTTATATTTCAATATAACGAAAACATTTTCTATATATGATCATATATTCAAGTTGGCATAGATGACAATATCTGCGGCTCACCAGGACTGTCCTCTGATGGTATGACACTAATACATTACATGAGCAGGAATATGGACGGGAAAGCCGGTCAGTGAGTCTAATGATTGCTAGTAGGTGAGCACAAAACTGTAGCGGAGGAAAGCCGGCCAGCCCGGTGCACGAGAAGGACAGGCAAAAGCCCAAACCATATCTACAAAGCTGTAATCATCAGGCAAGGCAAGGCTGGGATATTGTTAAATTGATGTGTTCGAGACAGTAACAAGTCGTAAAAATGAGCTCATTGTATGATGCGACATCAAGAACTGACAAGTTGTGCGCAGACGGATCCGGACAGACCCGCACGCAGCCAGACGGAGACTGCCGGAAATTCGGATTCCCAGACTTTCTGAGCAACTCCGACGGCTGTACGGCCCGAAGTCAAATCAGTACATGACGCTAACGTCGTATCGTTGACCATCGTAGAAATTGAGAACCATGCAATCTAGATAATCAATTATCGACGATGGCAATTCAATCCCACGTCTACCAGTGGGACTCTGTGAGCATCGGTTCAGTTTGGAGTGCATCAGGGAAACATCAGCGGGTTGGATTGGGACGGATGGAAGGAACACAGTACTCGATTGAAGGTGTTTCAGAATTTGAACTTTAACGAACCACGCAAATGATGAGTGTAAGCATTGTAGATGAGTCCTGTTCGAGCAATCCCGTGTATGATACAAGCACAAATGTAATACAGATATTGTAAAGGTACGAATGAGAACTGCTCGAAGTGTCTCAAACAGTATGAGCATTGTCGCCATTGGAAGCATGGAGCACGCTTGGTCTTACTTGAGATCTAAGTGAAGTACTGTTAAGGATTGTAGATGGGATAACATTGCTGAAGACTTACCATTGAACCAAGCACGTAAACTGGGCTTCATAGCTTCATCACTCTTGTCCATCAGAGATTGAAACGCTTCGATGGCTGCTCCAGTTCTACCTGCCCGAATAAGTGCCTTGCACAGTTGCTTGTTCGCGTTTTGCCAAAACAACTTGAAGTTCCAGCCGAAGAGCTGCAAAACACGCAGATGAGCATGAAAAGCCCATTCGATTGCGTTATATCAACGTACCATGGTGAATTCCTCGTACGTAGAATGGATTTCCAATTGATGAAAGGAGGCGCTTGTGTTGATGGCGACATTGAAGTGGTCAATGGCTTCACTGTAGTGGGCGTTTTCCGAGGCAATCACCCCGAGTCGGACGCGTAAATAGGTCTAATGTACGAGAATCGGAAAAATCAGTGCCAAATTATGAAGTCGGGCTTCATCAAGTGCACGATACTCACTTCTACAATACGGCACGCAACAGGATCAACATTGGGAGACACAGCTAGCTCTCCAACGCGCAGCATCGCCTCCTCATGTTCGCCTGCTATGAACAGTGAGACGGTCTAAAAATCGCAATGAAGCATGCGATACATAAGAAGAAAGATGACTTGCCTTGATCAAGAAAAGGAAATGACTGGTCTTTAAATCTCCCTTCATGAACACGGAGGCGAGGTCAAATGCTGTATTCGCGGCTCGGACTTGCCCTTTTCCACAGAGGGCAATGCCATTGGAGACATGGCCTGCAAAGGAAGGCTGAATGCTGACGGACTATCCACCAAAGTTAGCTTGCATAATGGAGAAATATAGGACAGTATATATCACAAATATATCACCTTGATTGAATCAAGAAGGGCGCGGTCCCAGTCGGATTTTCGTGCCATAATGAATGCGCGATTGGCGTAGGATATGTGATTCTTAGGATCAGCAATGATTTCTCCATTTAGCGCCTTTTCAGCGGTAGGCAAGTCACAAGCTATACATGCAACGCGAACTGTTGGGCTCATGGAAAGGACCTGCGCGAAGTATGTTCACATTCCGTGTAAGACTCAGAGGTAGGAACATGCCTTAAAATCAGAGTAGGCTTGAGCCTTGACACAAGAAAGATGTTTAGATGACGAAAGGGCACAAAAATGAAACAAATTACCTGGTGCGCCGTCTGCTTCACGAAAAAATCCTTTGGACCACCCTTTGGACTATCATTTGGACTATCATTTGGACCATCCTTTGGAATCGTGTTTTCGGATAGTGGCCACTCTGAGATCGTCTTTTCACTTCCGCTGATGATGTGCCTGTCATCTGCGGAGAACGTGACGCAAGACACTTTGGAAGAGTGCTTGAATGAGACAATGGTTCGTTGATCTGAGAGCCGCCAAAGGCGGACACGTTTATCTGCAGATGCGGAAGCAAGGAGAGTGCCACTAGAGTTTACGGAAATGGCGCTGATATCCTCAAAATGGCCCTTCCAGGGCATACCGACCTGCTTCCAGGTCAATGGATCCCACTCCCGTATACTGGGATCAGAACGATCTCCAGCAGAGAAAAGCCGTGTGCCATCGAGCGTCCACGCGAGTGAGATGCCGAGGGAGTATTTAGTATGGTATCCTGAGTGAGCATTGAAGTTTGCAACACATTCCCTCGTGCTTGTATTATAAATTTCAATATTTTGGGATACTGAGATGGCAAGAAGTTCGCCAGACGGCGAATATCGAACGCAGTGGACATAATCAGCGTGAGTGATTGGATCTCCTAGCAACTCCCAGGTTTTCGTACTGATGAGTAACACGGGTGTACTTGCAGTTGCCAGCGTCGAGCCATCTGGAGAAAAGTCCAGCGAATGGATGTACTTGCCGGTTTGGATGGCATTGGCGAGAGGTTCCCCGATATCTGTATCCCAGGCCATGACCTCTCCACCATCAACACCGCTTGCTATGATTTGCCCATCTTGCGATACCGCCAATGTCTTCACCGCCCAACTGTAACGTCCCTCCATTTCTTTCAACACAACAGCTTCCACCATATCCCATAGAACTATTTTACCGGCCAAACCTGTGACCATGCGCCGTCTGTCGGGGAAAACTGCGACTGCATATACAAAATCACTCTCCTTGAAAACTCGAACGGGTTTGGGGTTTGGAATGCGCTGCGCCATTTTCTAGAAGTTGGTGGTGTTAAGCACGGTCTTACTGAGGCGTGTTTGTGTTGCTTCGTTGTGTTAGACGCCTAAGACACGAGGCTGCGCCTTGCTCCAGTTGGTTTGTCAAAATTTAACGCGTAACGGCCGATCCTGCAGCTTTTCATGCGGTGCTCCCTTGACTTTCCATTGGGTCGACATTCAAAGACCACCCGTGACTCATCTTGAGCCTTCTCTTCCCTAGAATTTCATGACAGAAGATAGGGAATCTCATCCGGGATTTGCGTTACAGGTATGTAAAACTCTGCTATTATGAATCACTGAATAAGCGTTCATCCGAAGAGTCGGTCATGTATTAACTCCAGTGGGATGTTTTTAGTTTTATCCTTTGATCAATCATCGTCTCGCCTGCTCGGGTCGCCCCACGTCAGTGTTCGTGTGTGTTTCCATATTCTCGACACGGCGTTCATGGATAGACTTGCGGTAATCCATTGCTGCTGTCAATCGCTTTGGAGATATTCCACGACAGCTTCATTCGCTAGCGAGCAGCTCAGACTTGTTTTATATATGGTTCGGTTTGGAGTGGGAGGCCAATTTGATTGGGACGAATGACGAGTGGAAGGAACACGTGTGCAATAAGCAAGGTCTCTCGATTGAAGATGTTCTAGAATTTGAACTTTAACAAATCGACGGTAATTTGGTGAAGGGCACGCTGAATGATGGGTGTAAGCATTGTAGAATCCAAGAATCTTGTCCTGTTCAAGCCAGCGTCTACATATAAGCACAAATGTAGATGTACAAATCATTCGATGTTCGAGTTCATGACTAAGCGCTAAGCATCCATTTGCTGATCCCCGGGACCCCGTCAGTACTTCCATCAACAAAAAAACCAAAATGGTGCATACCATGTAACACTCTGTAACAAGCCAGTAACAGCCAGTACAAGGTGCGCAATTGCTGCCATTCCCACAAACCTGTGACAGACTTGTGTTGGGCTTGCAAGTCACGAAGCATAGCAGAGCATGCAGCAAGGTTTTATACATACTATTACCGGCCTTGTTATATTTGTATCAGTTGGTAGATCCTTGTTTGAGTGATGTTCAATACATGCTACTGCAACTGTTGGGACAATTGTGCTTGCTGGTAGTCTCTTGTGTGAGTGATGAATTTGTTGCATATTGGTACGAGCCTTGTTATACTTGTGTTGGTTGGCAGGCCCTTGTTTCCGTCATGTTCAATACATACTACTACAAATCTTATAATGTTTGTACTTCCAGGCGGGCCTTTGTGTGGGTGATGAACTTCGATGCATGTTCCTACCAGCCTTGTGACATCTGTGTCACTCGGCAGACCCATGTTTGCGTCATGTTTGATGCATTCTACTATAACTCTTGTGACGTTTGTAATTCCTAATGTGTCCCTTGTATAGGTGATGAACTTCCATGCAACTTCCTACAAGCCTTGTTGTGCTTGTGTCACTCGGTAGACTCTTGTTTAGCATCATTCAATACAAACTAATAAACTCTTGTAACAGTTGCAGTCTCTTGTATGTGTGATAAATTTCTATGCATACTCCTTCCAGTACCATCGCTGCAACCGGCCAAAGTATGCCGGATATATCATATCTTAACTTTATTCCCCTTCGGTGTTAGCACAAGTGTACCCAGTGCATACTAGTCTCGAGCCCCGGCGTTCGGAGCACACACACGCTAACCTATACCTGTACTCGCCTATGACCCTGCATGCGAAGGACACCGGATGCTATTACTGCGGGTAGGATGGTACATGCAGATATTGGACCTGTTACAGACGCTTGCGGGGAGCGAACTGGCATTTTAATAGCTACGAACATGCAGAATATAATTTATGATAATTTTATGGGTGAAAAATATCTCAAGCCTGCGATGGTACAATGTACACTATTTTCCTCCGAACCATGAACCTCGCGATGGGTTTAGCTCAGAGTGAATGTCCCATCTATTGTCCATTTATCGACAGCACGAGCACCGGCAAGGTCACCTACAGCTAAAACAGCAGCAGAAGTTGATCAGCTCACAGACATGAAGTACAGATAATGATCTCACCACCATCACGATACGATAACGAATGCACCAATATTCTGTTTCATGCTTTGCTTTTGACTTCTTTTTTGAAGACCGGAACTTCTTTCCTCTGGCTGATGAACATATAAGTCAGTACATTCCGCAGAGACTACCACACAAACTGCACTTTGGCTGAGTCAAACACTGGGAATTAGAAATCAGCAAATTACAGTACTAAGTAAATATTTCGAGTACCTGAGTGAGTATTTTGCATGTAGCGCAGGCCCAAGAGCGAACAAGTGAGATACTTACCATTTGCAAGACTCGTGGAAGCTGCGGAGTCGAAAGTACGATCCCATGAACTGTTGAACAAAGGACTCGAGGATGATTGTGACACAGGATGCTTTAGACGACAAAAGTTTACTGTTACTGAATGGCCTGTATATAACTCTCCGGGGAGAAGACAAAAGAGAAAATATCACGCATGGAATGACGAGTGATGCTAGTGTAAGGGCATTTGGCCCAACTCTGACACTATACCCATTTGTTTAGGTTTGAATCTGTAAAATTTGAGTTCATAATGGAAGAGAGCACACATACTTCGGTGCCAGTCATCGTAGTTTGAGCAACTAACAGCTATTGATCCAGAACAAGTTGTAACGGTGCTTGCACATCAAGTCCGACTCTGACAACCTGCATTAGGACCTGTTATGCCCAGGTATCCCACAATGGCAACATGATTTGTGCTGTATTTTTGCGGTTGTTAGGATGGAGCCATAGATCAGACCCACCATTCTAAAGTCTTGGTTGATTGCAATGTCATGTGGGGAGCTGCAGCCATGGCGTCATCTTGTACTGATGCGTAAGTCTTGATTCTTTTGTGAGTGTTGGACGGGCTGAATGCATCATCGTTGGACTTACTCATCATGGTTGTACTGTCACGGTGTAGCATACCATAGTTGACACGTGGTGCCCCAGAGGAGGTATGGATTCTTACACGTTGAACCGAAACCTCATGGCTCTAACTCGTACTTGGCATGTACCCTGCACCAATAATAAGGTTCTTCAGGCTCATGCAAGGCGCAAATGACTAGCTGCAACTAACATAGATTGCATCTGAATTAACTGAAATGGTATGTCAATGGGGAGTCACTGCTACTGAATATGTACCTTTCCATATTGTTTTATGGGCCCGACGATTCGAAGTAGAAATACTAATCACGTACTGGGTAAAGTTTCCATGTCGAATGATCTACTCAGAGCTTATCCAGGAAAGAAATGTGCGAAACTAGCGACAAGTGCTTTATTGTAACAGCGGTAATCTGTACAATGAGGGACAAACTTGGTAGAAGTACAATTGTACAAAATTAGACAAACACCATATAGTTACACGATCCCGTATCATGTTTTTGGGTGGCCTGCACAATAATACTAATCAATGTATGAACGGTTAATGATCAGAGAGAATACATACTACAATTTAAGGCGAAATGACTCAATTATTTCCCTTTGTTATATTGTTCAGTATAGGGCCCATCATTGAGGCGCCGACGTTTGAAGGGGCTGCTTGGCATGGGCGCAGGTGGTGACAGGACAATGAGTTCTCATAGAATGGCATCAAAGATGTCGCGCTTAGATTTCTTGATGTGGTGATGGCAAAAGGCCATATGGACTTCAACAAGCACGCCCTTGAGCTTTGCTTCATACTGGAGTGGTGGGATGAGGACGTGGCTCTCATCATATGCTGGTAACGGGTGAATGTGATGCGAGGATACGATGTCCTGCAGATGGCCTTTACATCGATTAGTGTTACAAGTAACATCGGTCACGTGGCCCCCCTATCATTTTCCTCTCATCCTCGCCCTCACCACCTACCGGCTCCTCCTCCTCTACCGACTTTCCGTTGACCGGATCCTCGGGACCGTTCCCGTCCCTCGCATCATCCGCCACTATGCACGTGCACTGCACGTTCCTCTTCTGATTCAACCACCAATGTGGTCCCACACCTCTGACTCGGTCTGACTCGTGCCACCAATGTGGCTTTCCTCTTTCTGTTTCCCCTGACTGCGGATTCCCGCACGTTGTATTCTTACCGTTGGTCCGTTCCAACGTTTCTCGGTCTCATTCCACATTCGACCATCCATCACTAATCCGGCTATGTTGCCAACGCACCTATACCATATTCGCATCCCCTTTACCCTTACCTACTGTGCGGTAGCCTTGCCCTTAACCCTCTCCACTTAGTATAAGTAGTCGGTCACTCTGTACTAGATTCTCTAACTTGAATCTACTCAATCTTCCCTGGAACATACTTCCCTCTGAAGCCCCCTCAGCTTCAGTCTCTAGTATCTTTTCTTAGTCGCTCATCGCGGCTAAGTCTACCTCGATCGACCTCATCGTCCGGACAAGACAGTCCTGACCTTGAGTGACTTCCCACGACATCCGTCTACGAAGTCACGTGACACGCGCATACTGTGATCGCTGCCGACTCGTCGTCGCCAGGCTCACTTGCTATACCGGACCCTTCCGGTTACGTCACGAACGTTAGCGGATGACGCCCCTCTTAGGGCTCCGCCTAACAGATCTATTTGAGTGCGTAACAATTAGCAACCGGCCAAGTCGTGATGTCGTATTCAGATCCTAGGCCGTCCATGGGGGCTAAAGCAGATACTTATGTTCATACAAAAATGAAGATTGTTCCGAACTTACTGGCATTTGTTGAGCTGTTACTACTGTCATCGCTAGTATCATCATCTTGATCTCTGTCAGTGGCCTATTGCATTACAGTATTCAGTATCATTGACAAGTCAGTACAACTAACTTACTTCAAAGAGATGGTGAGTGAGCTTGATTGATCTGCGGCCAATAGTGTCCCGAATCACACTGAGGGTCTCATACAATATTTCCCTTGGAGCCAATTTCTCGAAGGCACTGAGATTGCTAATGACAGCAGAGAAGTTGTCCGACGAGAATTTGAAGGCCTTGCTACGACCTGCGGTGAGCTGACAGCTTAGCTTCAGGTCCTCTAAGTGGCCATGGAAGACATTTGTGGGATTGAAGTTGCCATCCGGTGTGAAACAGAAATCATCACGGCTGATTTGGAATACACCGTGGATGATGAATTCTTCGTCGTGGTTCAGACCCTTGGTGATGAGGATGTTACCATCCCTTCCACCTAAAAAATATTCAGTGTGATAAGCAAGCCTAGGCGTTGCAGCATAAAACCCTCCAGGAGACATCTTTAGCTTGTTGAGTACTGACACAGGAGTTTTGCGAGGACTCCAAGTCAGCTGAGTACTGGAGGATGATTTGGGTGTCAGTGTGGTAGTAGGCATGTTCACGTTTTCGGTCATACAGAATGATTTGCGAGCATAGTCTGGTGGATTATTATTTGGAGAAATAAAGATGATGATCTGTGCAACGTACACTCCTAAGGACTCGGAGGCGAGTGGTGGCACAGCGCTCATCATTACTGCGGGGAAAGGGCTTGAAACTTGAAAATCATATTACAAAATTGGCCTGAAATTGGCAAATGAGGGCAACATTAATAATGACATGTGCATGCTGTACGGGACTTCGTGTGAAAAATTGAGTCACGGTACGGTTTGCAGTTCTCGCCTAGCCTGTAAATGTAACACGTGAAGCCTTTACTAGGGATGGATAACACCATCAGCTGTCATTTGTTATGGGGTCGACTTGAAGAGTTGTCAAATTAAATTTCTCCATCTCGTGTGCCTTTTCTTTACCTAACTGTAGTCTTAAGCCGCGAGTCACTGGCTGTTCATGCATGGTTCATGTGTGAGGTAAGTATTGCTAGGGAGTATTTTGAAGCAGCGAGAAATTATGGTTCCGATATTGATATTTCGCTAGTGATCTATAGTAATGTCAAATATTAGGGCGATTCATTTTGAAAGTAGGTATCATCGATGCCGAGTTGAGAGTAGAACCAGTCAACCTCGTTCTTGACCAGCTCACGAGGAATGAAACCCTATCATCATGTTAAGATGACATGATGCGCAGTGAGGATTGACCTCAAAAGATACAGATTGCAGCACTTTAGCAGTAACATCGACTTTCACCTTAGCGCGTTGTTCATCTTTGCCATTAAATATAGGCGTAGTATAGCCAGGCAGGTTCCTGACGCGATGAAAGGATTTCTCGGTGGATGCACCGGAATCATGTCCATTGAGGAGAGTCATGTTGGAGTCACGGTGGATCCCTGAACTAGGGCGAGCAGGATGGCGTCGAGCACGTCGTTTAGTAGTGATTAAAGGTCTGTGATCTATAGGAAGGTCGTGGCCAGTTGTCAAAAAGATAAATCAATGCACGGTGAGGATGAACAGCGTATTTATATGGGCCGTGTGTAGAATTTAGGGCGTTTTGGCTCTACAGCCATTCACTGTCATTCGCATCGCCGAAACCATGTCTGCCACGACAGTACTGTCGCAAATTCGTACAAGTTAAGGTTCACCGATTCGTCATAGCTTGAGGTGGCATTGCGGATTCAATTGCACCACCATTCAAATGCGGTGAATAGATTGATACTTGGGAAGCGCCATTACTTGAAAACTGAGTGGTGCAACATGTGGCAAAGCACTACTTTCAGACAGATGCGATCTATGTTCTAAATTCGAACAATGAAGCTGACTCGGCTGGTAAACTTATGCCAGTATCCCCGATGGGTCAGTTCTGCGAAGTGTTGAGCACGCGGTGTAGAGACTCGCGCCTCTCAATGCGGAATATACGGCCCTATTACCCACATAATTCCCTACACGTTCCAGCTCTTATCCGAAGGATCAGTCATACGCGCTCTCACGCGCGCGCCCTACGTACGCGCCTCGCTCGCGCGCCTTACACGCACTCGCGCCTTTCGCGCGCGCTCGTGCACCTCCCCTTAGGCCTTCGTACCCTTGTCCGTCCGTCCGTCCTATGTCCTCGCTGATTTACTGGTGCGTTATTCTTATCCCTTTCACTGAATTGACGTACCTTCGGTCCGATCTCCGCGCTTACATATAGAAAGTCTATCATAGGCTTTAGAATATATTTAGAGTTGATATGGTTACTCGGTTCGGTACCACGCTCGCAAGCGCGCCGCATAGCGTAATCTCCCTTCTTAAATAGAGGGAAAGTTCCTTTTAACTTACTTCCTTCCCTTCTCCCTTATCTGAGTATACTGCAAATTGTATAAGTGCACCTTAGTACTTGAAATCCGATTATACTTCACTATTCTACCATTGCTCGCGCACCTGTTATACTTGAACACTCTCCCCCATCGCTCAAAAGCACGCTTCCGTATACGCGCGCGCCCCTCGCATCTTTCGCTCGCGCGCGCCCTTCGCGCGCCTTCGCATTTGCTTACTCGCGCCTACGCGCGCGTTATCTTCTCGCGCCTTCGCGTGCCTGTTACCACCCGTCTAGTTGGCGAAGACTCCCTCCATTACATTAAAGAGGAACTTCTCTCAGTAGCTGTCCTTTGGGTCGAGTCGTATTCTCGTATCCTGGTCTTACTGTAGAACCCCCGTTAGCTTTAGCGTTTCACCTATAGTCAAGATTCCTCACCTTCAGCGGGCAGAGGTGGGGATCTCTTCATCAGTCTTAAATGGCAAACACGTACTAGTAACAGTCCTACAGCATCAACAAAGGTGCAGACACAGGGGACACAGGACATGACAGATTGGTAAGTTCTGCGATTGAAGCGCAGATGTGGTTCCAAGTAGAACTCACAAGTCATGTGGATAAGATCTGCCACCAAACAAGTAAACTCGAACGAAATGTTGATATCATTTACTTACATATAGGAACAACAGTTATACATGGTGCAAACAATAGCGATAAGAACAACAACACTTTGAACACGTCTATTGTTCCACAGGAAATTGTGCCGCCTCTGCAATGTCTGTATCGTTGTGACCCATCGTAATATGTAGCATGACCTCAGGATTAGGCCATAGGTACGGAATCTCAGGGACACGACATCCAGCTTGAATTGAATCATCGAACCAATGAGGTGTGAGGACGGTCATGTGGGTACGTGGTGCGAAGTACATTGCAGTTTGATACTGCAAGGATAGCGCAGTGAATACTCGTCCCATTAGCATTATAGTTACAGTGCATGAAGTTTGAAAGAGAGCAAGCACCTTGTCACTCTGTTTATGCAATGCGAAGAGATGGGTTACATCGCAGGTAAGGGCCGTTCACCACTGCCCTCCTAATGAGGTGATACCAGCTGAGAGAACTTTGAGGTCCCACGGGGAGAGCTTGTAATGAATATTAATGTCACACCATCTGATGATCGACAGCTCACTCACATCAGTAGCACATGCGACAATGCCTGAAAAAATCATTGTTGGATCAGGTGAATAGTACTGCTCACTGACATGTTGACCGTCAATATCTACCAATGTGCAAGGGAGAGGAGGCTCACAGTTGATATTTTCTGAGGACTACACTCCATTGTACCCACCTTTCCGATACTACATGCAAATATTCCTGGTGTTCACATTGAGTGTATGATCCTGTAAGCGCAATAAGATGGGTATGTGGCAGTATGCTCGTTGCACCGTGGAGTTCCAGCAAGCCGGAAAGTTCCTCGCGACATTTCACATGTATTGAAGATGAGAGTACATAGCGTACACCGTTGAAGAGGGCCATACCACTAAAGCTTCAAGGTATAGGGTATTGATGTGAGAGGAAGTGTCATGCACTGGCAAGAGGTCAATGGAGCATCCATACGGCAACTATGTTACGTTTCTTCCCCAAAATGTGATGGGAAACTCGGCTTAGATGTTTGACATGCATGTTTAAGCTTCAAGTTTGATGATCAGCGTTATGTAAGTGTGATGGGTGATCCGGGCCTTCGATGATGTGAATATATCATTTTCGTTTTTCCTCTTCACCAGTGGGACCGAATTCAGGGTTGACAGTGTTCATCTTGCGGTGATGCCAACTCTGACTAGGCTGTAAGTAGATCTGAGAACAAGGCAAACAGGTCGAGCTAAACCAATGACAGCCAAGGGATTTAGACCGTCTCTGTGCAGAATCAAAAGATTCCCTTGGTCCGAACCTTCAGTTCGCCCGTGACATATAGACATTTACTTCTATTTCTGGTTTTGGCCTGGATCTTCGAGTTGAGCGCTATTGACCTTTCAAACTTCAACAGTTGACTGTCTAGATCCAAACACGCACCGGCCCACCATGACACCTGAACCATCCGACGTATCAGGAACATCAATCCACTTTCAAGATTTGCTCAAAGACCTGAGCTCTGGCGTGAGAGGTGGCTGTAGAAGAAAGTTTTGGTAACTTTCAAATTGTCACTGGTACATGTTGTCTCACCATCAGGCCAGTGGCCCAATTGAACCGTACTTACATGCAGCTCGATGGTTTCCTCTCGCGATTGACCCATTCGCTGTGCTTGAGGATGTCTTGTACGAGGGCATGGAAGCCGAGTTTTCTGAATTCCTGGCCGACACCTCAGATCAATCCGAAGAAGCTTCAGGTTCAGATAAGTAAGTCTGTGGCAACCTGAGATATTCAGCACTCTGATATTTTACCTGTGCAGTCGTCAGAAGGAGTTGTGTATAAAGCAATACAAAGAACTTGTGAAGCTTGTACCAACCTTCAGTGACGTCATATCAGGATTTGAAAAAGTTTCGTCGGCTATGGACAATTTTATCCATGTGGTAACACAATTATGTTCATCATTCATGTTTCTGTCTTACATCTAGCCAGCTTACCTGTGCCGCAAATGATGCACGATCCGATGATACTGGAAGCCTAACACAAGAGGGGCTGGTATATATGCTCAAGAACCCCGAAACTGACCAGTTTAACCCACCTCTACTCAAGCAGCACAGTAAAATCGCTCGTGGATGAAGCCACCCTCAGACCGCGCGACTACTGTGCCCGATGCGGATGCTCGACGTGTTTGACAAAAATCCCCAGTAAGTCGTGCTAATATTATTCATTTGCTCTCACATAGCCAGCTATAGGGACTTCGTGGATAAGGTAAAGGAAGGTCAGATCACAATTACAGTCGCAAAGCTTCCTGCATATCTATACAATGAGTCTATGTTGGACCCCGCCAGGAAAAATCGAGGTTGTCTTCGAGGATACTACCTCAAACGTGTATGCTTGTCTTTCTTGTCCTTGTTCGTTGAATACTATTTTACAATTTGAGCGGGTCTTTCACCACATATTCACTGGACCATCAAGTGCCATTTCTGCAACCGCTCACAAAGGCACCAAGGCTCCAAAAGGTCGAATTCATGGTATGACATCGCCACTACCACGAGCAATTGTGTACGCAGCCGTACAGGTAAGCTCTCATGCGAGATTCACGCGCTTTAACTGATCATCAACCTAAGGCATATTTCCAGCTTAGTTCTGCAACACAATGGCGTCAGCAAGTCGAAGACTTCGATCTTGTTCTATTGTATGATCAAGTAGTTGATATGTTCGAAGAAAATAGTACTAATAAGCAATGGGCGCAAGAAACACTCGACCATTGGAAATCGTAAGACTATTCGACTCTCCTTTTTTATATGCTGATCTATATTATGAATAGAGAGACTCCTGGACTCCTGCAGCATGGGCGCTCCAGGGCCAGGATAGATGCAGGACTTCATGCATTTGACAGCGAGGATGACATGGACAGTTTTTTTGAACCTGATGGGCATTCTCCTGATAATGGAGAACAGAGCTCACAAGGTAGGATCGAGAGCAGCGGCAATGCAGAGAACACACGTGGTATTCAATTTCCCTGTAATTTGAATTGTGCACATAACTAATGTACATTCTGACCCAGCGGTGTCAGATAATAATGAGTCAGCACGTCAGGTAGCTTCAAGGACAACAACACATGCATCACGCCAGAAGAGAAGACACCGCTGACTCCTCCTTGTAGTTGTCTTTCATCTTCAGTCTGTACTCTAGCTTACATCGCGCTTTATTTCTGACCTGTGTGTTCATAATTAAATGTACTCTGCATTGTAATTTGATTTGCTACTAGGAAGTTCAACTTTAAACTGCGAGCTGCATGAACAGTACTGCCTGCGTGCCATACCATAATTTTGCTCTATCAATTCTTTTGTTGTTGTCTACGAGATCTTTGTCGACAAACACAATCCGTACAATTTCTTTGATGATCTTTATGTCACAGTGTTTCTGCACACTGGTGCCGAATACTCACAGTGTCACACTGTTTTTGGAACCGAGCAATGTAAATGCGGGGTTGAAGGAGTTCTGAGTTCCGAACATTCTGACCAAATTCTGACCCTGACATTTTAAACCCGGGCAGACAGTATTGATTGGCACTATTACTTGCTGAGAGACCTACGTAATTCTGATCAACTCAGAATCGTCAGTAACTTGTTGTTGTGGCGCAAACCTTGCGGCAAATATCTCCTTTCATAATGCCCGTGCATTGGGAAAGTTACTAGAGCTCAGCCCCATGTAGCGAAGATCGGATCATGGAATGTTGAAACACATGAAGAGTCAGTATGAAGAGAGTCTAGAGAACTACACGTTACCATGCCCCACACTAGTGTTGACTCGGTTTCGCACCCATCTGACATTGACTATAGGGCAGAAGTTCTCCTCTTAGTCACTAAATTCGAGGCAGGTGAAGATGACATAGTGATATCTGCATATCCAAGCAGAGACTCTACACCTGACAGTCAACATAGCCATGATTATGAGCCATGCCTCGGTGGCAACTCGCATGGTCAAGGCGCCCCTGTGTACTCCTGTGGGTGCTACCGGCGTACGAAAGTTGAACATACAGACGCACCTGAACAACACCAGGGACTGGGGCTTAAACAGGTACAGTGGCTGCTTCGTCCTTTACACTCAGTTCCAATGTTGTTTCCAGGAGGTTGATAGTAGCGGCGAAATCTGGCCCCTGAAGTGCAAGAGGTCCAAGTCAACCTTCGAGTCAGACTCTCTAGGAGATATAGTCATGGTGAGCTGGACTTGTCGTTTCATCACCGTGTGGATCATTAGTTTAATGGCTCTATAATTCAGACGCCACACTGCTTTGGACGAAACCTGACCAATGTCCAACACGCTAAATCAGTGCTGGCACTTGAAGGATTGAAGCGCAGGAAGCTGGAGAAGGCCTTTGAATTAAACAGAAGCGCAACTCACGAAACCTTGATCCAGGATATCGTGAAACATCTCGAAGCTGCCATTGACAGACAGACGGAAGTGTTGTCCAAGATTTATGGTGTTCTGGAGAGCCGTGCTAAGTAAACTGCTTATGCATGTATGCAATACCTTCAGTCGTATGTTACGACACACAGTCGTGTGCAACTAGGATGATCTAAACAGCGACAACCACGACAGTGGTACCGAGTGCTAAGAGTCGTCGGCCTTTACAGACAAGCAAAGGTTGCGTACTCGAACGTAGCTCGTGGTGGTTAACGAGGGGTTACGCTGAGATGATAGCAGGGTTTACAGACAGTGAGAGGCATCACTGAAGGTACGAGTCGATGTCGAGCAGGTAGCTTTAGCGGGACAAGGAGTTCAAGGGTAAACCTAGTAAGATTAAAGTAAGGAACATCTACTTTAATCTTCGACCTTATATAAGGCTACTCTTCATATCTAAGCTCAGCCTAAAGCTGGGTTCTAATCTGCTTATCTACATGAGTCAGAGATAGTGTCCATGAGGCGGGCTTCTATCGTAGATAGGGTCCATGCGGTACCCTTCTATCAGTACATGAGGCAACACGAGGCTTGCCTTCTATCTTGATAACATAAATAGGTCTTCTAGACCTATGTCGTCATGTGTCGTCATGTGCGGTCCAGACCGCTTATCTAAGCCGGCAGTTGCCGCTTATCGTCTATCATCATCTATTGTCGTCTATCGTCATAGAGCTGGTGAGACTCCAGTATCGTCTATAGCCATGCGGTGGCAGAGGGCTGTCTGCTGGCAGGGGACTCATGCCATGTTACTGTAACATTGTACGCCTGTATTCAAGCTTGATGGAGACCATTCGGCACAAGACCATGTTCTCACTGTACTCTGAGCCTGACAATAACAAGTTATGAGTGCCATTGAAAACTTGTGAACGTCAGAAGTGTGACTTGAGTCGGGACGTGGACATAGCCAGAAACCCGAACAATTCGGAGTCTCGGAGCCATGCCATTAGTACTGACATTCAGAACCTGATTTCGAAATAATGGTACCTTTTTGAGGAGGTCGCCGTGATGTTAGTGCCAGGTAGCCCTTTATTATCATCCCCGGACGGTAGTGATGTTCCGGCCCAGCTTGGTTCAAATGCCCCGGCTTTGGCTCGGCTTCAGACGGCCAGGGCTTTGAGAAATTACAAGCCGGGGCCAAGCCCTCGACAATGGTTTGGCCCAAGCTGCGGCCTGAGTATGCAAAAAGGTGGGCAAATGAATTCAATGATTAGTAGGTAGATAAACACGCAACATGTGATAAAATTGTACAGGTATTGTTACGCTGACCGTCAGTTGGCGTGTGCGAACTTGGATAGGTCTTCTTAGCATCGGCTCAAATGAGCCCACCGAAGCTAAGGGTGTTCGGCGACTTGACGGAACGTCAAGGGTTCCTCCGGTTATCTCAGTAAGACGGCGCTCGTCGAGATACAGGGCTAGCGGATACGGCTAAGCGCGGGGAGCAACTTAGAAGTGCGGTGTTTCAGGGAAAACCAAGTGGATTAGACAAGGCTAACTCTAGGGATGACCAAGTAGATTAAAGTAGAGATCTCAGTACAATAATCTATCTACTTATATGTTCTACATGTAAGTGTTCAAGCTCAGTCTGTATCTATTAGTATATCTGGGATCTATGATAAGAGACCATAAGGTCAACCATGAGGACAGATAAGATACATGAGGCTTAACCTCTGATCAAGCATGCAGCGCCAAGTGCGATTGCGCATAAGTACATGAGGCGCCAAGGGCGCTCCAGATCTTTCATGAGGTGGCAACAATCAACATGTGCCGATCTAGGGTGACCATGAGGTGTACAGCCTCCATGGATAAGGTACAAGGCCGTCTAGGCCAGAGGCGGTGTCACAGCGGTCCAGACTGCTGTCTTTCTAAGTGTAGGTGGTGCACCGCCGTGTCAGGAGTCTAGCAGAGCGGGGGCTTCTGTAGGAGTTACGGATGACTGTAACAGGTATGGGTTGTATAAATGAGATGAAGAGCGCAGCACCAGAATGCCAACCAGGGAAGGAACGAGATGTCATGGGCAGCTGCGTGAAGCGCCGAGAATGATAAGGCATGGGAGGTGAAGTGAGCAGCGGGAGACTGGTAAGTCGCAATAGCAGAACCAGGTTAGCGGTCGCACGAGAAAGATTGTGGTCGAATGTACAATACCAGGTCATGAAAGGCGAGGAAGGATCCGCGTTGGCGTGCCAGGATAATGAGAGGTTGCAGGACGTTGTCCTTGAAGCGTGGAGACTGTGGCAGGTCGTGGCGGCGTATGGGACGTGCCGCACGAGGCTCGTTGGCATTGGTGAAGGTTGCGGTGTCTGAGCTGATCATTTGAATGTAGTGAGTAGATGGGTAAGGATGCACGTACAATAAGAGGTTAGCGAGAAATATGAGTTAGAGTCTTGACGGACTGTTAGGCCTCTAAACAAATGATAGAGTGAATTGAAGGATCTATTGTGACATTGGAGTGAGAAATGTCAAAAGAAACATGGCGACTCACTCGTATATCAACCTGAACATAAAAACCCGCATGTCTGGAGGATGCAAAAGTACTTCAGTGGTCGATTCTGACGATTCTGACATGTGGTGATGGTGGGGTGAAGCAGAAGACACAGGTAAAAATAGAATGTGTCCGAGGCGGTACTGTGTACATAATACCCTAGAAGCCCCGGCTTGGGCTGGCGGCTCGGGCTTTGCAAAATGATGGGCCAGGCCCAAGCCCTACGCAATAGGGCTCCGTGAAAAATACAAGTGCTTACTAACATCGGTTGTTATTGACTGGTCAATAACACCGAGGAAAGTCAGATGCACTTTTAGCCTGTTAATAATTGTTAACAATCATATATTCAATACAAGAGCCTCGAGCAGCTGCATCAGCCAGTGTCATGTATAATCTAGTATCTAAATCTTGTTTAGAAATACTTTGAGTGACAAATGTCTAGGGTTGACTATGTGTATCTAGGGATCCGCACGGGTAAACCCCGGGGTGTCAGAGACCTTACCCGCACCCGCACCCCAAGGTATACCTGCACCCCCATAAAGGGTACGGGTTTTTGGGGGGTATGGCAAACCCGTACCCTTACCTGTACCCATGCAGGGTTTACCCGCGGGTAATACATATAAATATGAAGTTAGAAATTGTAAAAATGAATGAGAATGAGACACTCACCTCCTGCAAATGGTGGGCAGCGACTTGAATCAGCGTGGCTCGAGCTCGGATGAGGATCGGCAGACTCACGAACTGCGAACGGTGGGTGATGACTTGGATCAGCATGGTCCGAGCTCCAATGAGGATCGACAGACTCACTCCCTGCGAACGGTGGGCAACGACTTGGATCAGCATGGCTCAAGCTCGAACGGGGATTGACAGACTCATGAACTGCGAATGGTGGGCAACAACATAGATCAGCATGGCTGTTGCTCCAATGATGATCGACGCACTCATGACCTGCGAATGGTAGGCAACGACTTTGATCAGCATGGCTGTTGCTCCAATGAGGATCGATGCACTCACTTCCTGTGAACAGTGGGCAATGACTTGGATCAGCATGGCTGTTGCTCGAATGAGGATCAATGCACTCACTTCCTGTGAATGGTGGGTGACGACATGGATCAACATGGCTCGAGCTCCAATGAGGATTGACTCACTCACTGTGAATGGCAGGTGACAACATGGATCAGCATGGCTTTTGCTTGAATGAGGATCAGCACACTCACATACTGCGAACGGTGGGTGACAACTTTGGTCAGCATGGCTCGAGCTTGAAGGTAGGTGTTGTGTCAAAGAAGACACTATAGTAGGCAGGTGTGAGTATTAGCAATAGGCAGTACAAGTGTAAGTACTTACCGCTATAGTTCTCGATTAGGTAATGTACCGGTCAAACCCAAGCGCAGGTGTGGGTGAGGGTCCAGGTACCCAAAATGCGGACCCACACACGTACCCGAGGGGTACCCACACCCGCCACCCGCATGGGTTTTCAAAACCCATGCATATGCATATGTGTATCTAGTGATGCAGAGGTTCAGTTCAGAACTGCGGTTCGAACCAGACTTTTAATGAACCGGACCGCGGTCCAGTTCAATGTTCAGAGTATGGGCTGAACTGGACCATCGGACCAGTTCAGCACATGACACCCACTGACATGCAGGTTCAGGCCTGCTCACTCACTCACTCGCTTTGTGTCTGAGTTTCATTGTTGGCGTGGACCTCCCAGGACCTTAGAGGACATCAGACATGACAGCTTCTCTCAGTGCAGGACTACTTCAAGAAAGCTTGGGGTCGCCTACTAAACCATCCAAACATCATTGGAATGTCTATCATGTCTCTGTAAGTCTGGCTTAGCCCGTTGTTGATGACCATGGGGGCTCACTGGGCACCACAATCATATGGTACTCACTCTTGTGTTCAGAATTCAGTGTGATGCTTGACTAGTGTAGTCTATGTGTTACAACAGTGTGGGTCAATCAAAATTGAGAACCAAGTGAATTTTAAAACATGGAGTGACATCATACCCTCTGAAATTTCGGAACTGTCCCACCAATTACCTCTGTCTTGTGTGTTACCTCCCACATGGCACGATCAAAGAAGGGGGCATCAGACATCATTCAAAAGAAGCCAAGGTGGAGGAAAGAATTAGCTATCCTGATTCAGCTTTGGCTGACATCCAGAAATGCAAGAAACTTGGAATTGAAACGCACCTCCAGGCAAACAAGACGAGGAGCAGTGATGCTGGCTATGTACGCCTGGGATGCGAGTGGCTTGTGAGCCATTTTGATGCACCAAGCTACTCTGCTGACAAGGGGGACTACTCAACCAATCCTCGAATATTTTTGAGGCCTGGCCAGTGGACAAGCATGACAGAGACACCCTTGAAGGAGTTCTGCAACTGCTTGAACTGCGGCAAATCTGGGTGGAGGTCCAGTGCACAAACATTGTCCTGGTTACCAATCCTCAGATATTTGTGAGGCCTAGCCAGTGGACAAGGGTAACAGAAACACCCTTGAAGGAGTTCTTTAACTACCTGGACTGTGGCGAATCTGGGTGGAGGTCCAGTGCACGCTCATTGTTCTGGTTGCCAATCCTCCAATATTTGTGAGGCTTGGCCATTGGACAAGAGTGACAGAAACACCCTTGAAGAAGTTCTTTAACTGCCTGAACTGCGGCGAATCTGGGTGGAGGTCCAGTGCACGCTCATTGTTCTGGTTGCCACTCCTCAAATATTTGTGAGGTCTGGCCAGTGGATGAGTGTCACAGAAACACCCTTGAAGGAGTTCTTCAACTGTCTGAACTGCGGTGAATCTGGGTGGAGGTCCAGTGAATGCTCATCGTTCTGGTTGCCAATCCTCAGATATTTTTGAGGCCTGGCCAGTGGACGAGCATGACAGAAACACCCTTGAAGAAGTTCTTCAACTGCCTGAACTGTGGTGAATCTGGGCAGAGGAGTGCATGAACATTGTCATGCTTGAGACCAGCAAGAGCAGCTGTCTTAAAGCTACCTTGCTTGAACCTGAGATTTACATGGATGTTAATATATAGTGATTAAGACAGGCTTGCTCACATAATCACTGTTGACGCATCAATGTTCACCAAAACCTTTCCTATGGTAGGGTGAACACTCCTATTGTATGTTGGTCAAATGTTTGTCACCACAGAGATTCTGAGCTTACTGGCAGTATTCATGCCACAGTTCTAAACCTCTTGTTGGCTGTGACCTCCTTGCCAAGGCCATAGCTGCCGCAGCTGGGAGTGAAAGAGTACTTTGAGACCGTCAAGAATGCTAACATGTTGAACAAACAAGGAAAGACAATCCAATAGATTCAAACCTATTCACTGGTGTTATCCTTGATTTGTTCAGTGTTTGTCACTGAACATCCCTCCAAGAATGAGAGACTGGGTCTGGTGTAGAGATACAACAATTGCTGGGCACTACATGAAGTAAGTAACCAGCAATATAATAATGTGTTGTGGTCATGCACAGCCTAGTCTGCTATACTTGCAAGACAAGTGCATTCGACCCGAGGGGTTTGCTGTATGGTATTAGAATAATTAGTTATATGAAAAGGAAGATAGTCCGAAGCGCAGGAAACAAAGTCTGAAGGTATAATTATGAGTCTGATGTCAAAAATGTTGGGTCCGATGTTTTTGGGTTTTGGGTTAACGGGTTTGCCTTGGGTTGCATCGGGTTTGTGTCGGGTTTGTGTCAGGAATATAGTGAATGTCGGGGATAGCGAATGGTGGGTTACTGTCAGATGTTTCAGATAAGGAAAGGATGATATTGCATAATTCAGCTAAGAACTACTAATATCAGATGACCTCCTCCTACTCGGAGGTAGAAAGGTAAGTAAATAGGTGGGAGGTATGCGAAATATATAGTGTCTATGTAGAATTTCGGAGTGCTATAGGCGAAAGTAGTAGCGCTGATTTTCGGGTCCAATGTCCTATGTAATAAGACATGATGTACTGCGGACATGTAATAACGTGTTCTACAATGTTAGCAATGTGAAAACAAGTAACTGCACACCTAGTGAGGATAGATACGACAGGACAAGACATAGGGAGGACAAGTGTGTGGGAAAAAATTGGGTCCAATGTGCAGGAAATGTCAGGTTCATTGGATTAGCGGATAAACATTGGATTGAGTGGATGAGTGTCGGATAACATCGGGAAGCCCGCAGTTATGTTTCTCTCTTTCAATCATCTGTTATCTACATCATAATAGCCAGAGCCACATTTAAATTTCTAAGTTCCGATGCGGACCCCAATTTAAATAGTCCCTAAATCATATTGTCATCTTTCTCTTTCCTCGACCAATCATTACACCGACGTCCTTGCTGCTTTCAATCAACCTTCAACTGAATCTCTACTCAATTCTGTCATGCTCTCATTACTGCAGGACACCCTCTCTTCAGACTCGTTGAAATGGTGCCTGGACCATGGAATGTTTAAACTTAAGGTCAGATTGTTTTTCTTGCTGCAGTCACTTGATATTGTTGTTAACATTGATTTAGATGCTAATTTAAATGTTGCCTGGACCTATTATCCATATCTGAATCATTCCACCTGGACCGACATTGTCTTCTGAATCCAAATTCCACCTGGACCGACGGAATTGTCTTCTGAATCATTCCACCTGGTCTGACATTGTCTTCTGAATCAACCATCACTTCAATTGTATTGAGGTTTTCCCGGGAGGCATTAGCGTTTAGATTTGAGCAAGGTATGTTTTCCTTTCAATATTCGTCTTATGCAGTGCATTGATATTGGTCTGATTCAGAGAACCAATGCATATTGATTCAGAATTTGGTGCAGACAAGCGAGATTCAGACCAGCATCATTATTATTGTTGATAGGCAACTGCACGGGTTGAAGTAACCCATGCGGGTTCAGGGTACGGGTATGGGTTGGAATTCTGTGACCTGCGCACTAACCCGTACCCCTGGCATACCCGTGCCTTCCAAAATGGTAATTATTTTGTAATCAATGTTTCTAACTTATCCACTGTGCCATCCTGGCCCCTCCCACATCATGCCGTCATCAAATGAGCCAGTAATAGGTACACCTTGGTTTTTTTTTTTCTAAAATCTATTTGACATTTATAACTACAACTAGGTATTTTCGAGCCTGTAACCATCCATCGTTTTGTGATGAAGGTTGATAGCACTGGGCACAGTCGAGGTGGAGGGATTCTGGCTGTCTTTCGCTAAGCTGCAGAGGTGTGTGTATTCACACCTCATATGTATCTACATGACTTACGAACATTTCCGCTTGGTTCATAGTCCTCCTTTCGCACTCGACACTGATGTTGACGCTGATGTTGCTGTGCCTGTGTCCCACTCTCAGGCTGTGCGTGACCTTGTCCTTTGATCATTTTCACTTGTTCTGGCTTGCTCTGACTTGTTCCGACTCATTCTTGCTTGCTCTGACTTGTTCCGACTTGTTCTGGCTCATTCCAACTTGTTCTGGCTCATTTCGGCTCGTTCTTGTTTGTTCTCACTCGCTCTGACTCATTCTCGCTCACTCTGACTCGCTCCAGCTCATTCTGACTCGTTCTCATTTGTTCTCGCTGTGCAAGGTATGTTATATATATATTATCTCACTACAAAATTTTAGGTAGTACCTGCAGGTAAACTCCCCACGGGTGTGGGTATGGGTCTAATATCCACATACCCGCCAAAACACCCGTACCCCTCGAGCGGGTGCGGGTTTTTGCCGGGTACGGGTGTGGGTATGACCTCTGCTACCTGGGGGTTTACCCATGCAGTTGCCTAATTGTTAATAGTTAAATTGATAGTTAAATTTGAATCCAGTATTAGCACCAAATTAAATAAATTGCAATGCATTTTATAAAGACAGTATTGGTGTTACAATATATTGAATTGACTTGCAATGACGGTTGTGACCATGATGACAATCTCAATTAACACTCGATGCAATTGTCATAGTCATAATTGTCATGACTCATCATAATTCCCATGCTATTGCAACCGAGCTCGCAACTGTCATTTAAATGATCATGACAATAACGACTCTATTATAGCAACCTATTTAAAGACACGCCCTGCATTTGGGCATTGAAACCCATTGCAGGGCATTGAAATCTAAATTAGGAATTTCCGACATACATTGACTTTCAGCATTCTGTGTGAGTTTGGAAATCAAATGAGTGTTTCTGCCTTTTGTCATGGGCAATGCATGCTGCTCGATTATATTGAGCGTGTTTTGTTGCCTCCATGTCTGTCTGGTAAGTGAATGGATCATGTGACCCTTTTATTAAAGAGTCACGTGATCATGCAACTGTTTGAACTTTGAACGACACTTGACGCGCATGACGACTTGACAACGAGGCTTCCTGCCAGGCTGAGTCTATGCTGGTGAAATCTTATGTCTACATTTTTTTTGTTTTTCTTCGTCATGAAAGCCACGTGCCCGAGCCTTGCCGATGAATGGATAACACAAACGTAATGATGCAGACATGGCAGTATAGTGTACGTCCTAGATAAAGACGACGGACCACAACTTCTGGGTTGGTCACCAGAAGGTAAGGCAATCACCACCATTGCGGCGGTGCCTCACAATGGCGCGTCTCTGAGGGTGATCAATAGTGAAAGTTTAACAAGAATATGATTGCGCAGTTCCGAATTATCTACCACTACATGGCGACTGTAAGAATATTGACCAATAGAAATTATTTAAGTGGCGGGACCCTTCCCAGATGCCGATTCACCGAAGGGACAGTTGATCTGGGAACCTGAAGGTCCGGCATGTGCAGCGGCGATACTTGGAACTGAAGTACCTGTGATTGTAGACGGACCTGGGGTGAAATTGAAATAAAGCTGTTCCATTGCCTGTGCCTGCCTGGCGCTCATGCCTTGACTGTATGGGACTGGATGACCGGCGGGGGGGAAGAACACAGCATTATTAAAATGAGGTATGGGTGGGTTGGGGACAACACGTTGCCGGATGGACTCATAGGCATCCATCAGGACGGCGGTACGATGTCCTTGTGCAGTCAACATTGCATCAGCGCTCCGGATCTGAGCCTCACGAGTCTGAGATTCGGCATGCAAGGCCTTCACCTCCTCTTGCAATACAGCGATCTCGGCACACATTTTCTCCATAGCTCGGATGTCAGTATCCTGAGCAGCAAGGCGCCCATTCATGATTTGAACCAACTCGGCCATCTGAGCGTTCCGAGTTCGGATGTCGGCCACCTGAGTCTGAAGGTCATTGATGGTGTCCTGAACCGCCGCAAGGGGCGACACCGAATCAAGTTTCACCTCTAGTGTCATGGCCTGCAAATCCTTTGCAACCGTGTCACCGGACGCGTCAACTTCCATTTCTTTGGCGAATGACGGAGGCGATTGAGTTGGATGAGGAGGCGGTGTGAGTGGAATTGCGGCGGTGGGAGTGTTCTTTACCGAATAAGATGGAGGAAGACTGAAGGCATTTTGGGAGCTTACAGCATTGACATCAGCCTGCATTGCCGTGCTCCTGGTACCCACAGGCTCAGGGGCGACCGTTGCCTTTTGTTCCGCCAACATAGCTTCACTGTGTTGCCAGTCGTGTGTGGCAGTCCTAGTGCTGGCCCTTTTCTGGAGAATACAGTAATGAGACAAACATAAAGATAGAATGACAAAGCTCCCGACCTGAACCTCATACCATGGTTTCCGTTGATCACCAGCGTTTCGCATCGGCGGATAATGGTTAGAGGCCTGTTTCGGCGGCCTGCCAGAACTCACATCTCTAGACTTCTTCCGCTCACGGTCCCACCAGTGTATCTCTGATGGCAATGTAACTTCCCTTCCCTTCCCTTGCCTATCCATTGGGACCTCGGACCCAGACGAGACTACTATCTCCACGCGCTTGCTTTTTGGCTTTGGCCTCAGTCTAGTCGGCGTTGTATTTGTATTGCCCGGGGCGACATCCTCAGCTTTGTCCACAATCGCTGGCGCGATGACCTTGTCTTCATGGCACATGGCGACCTCTTTGGATGCACTAGTAGACCTCCACTTCCTCTTGTGGAGAGCATCACTTTGGCTGATATCCCCAACAATTTCGACTTCGTCACTGTCCTCACACAAGTCTATCGGCATCTTCCGCGTGACAGATCTTCCAGGCGGCTTGGAATTTGCTACCACTGAAGGGACCGCCGGTGTATTTGTCGCCTTGACCGGTGGTGCATCTGGAGGTTGCGACATTGGTGCTGGGGCCGATACAGTAATTACCTTGTGAGCCTTGCCATATAACTGATGGCACTCGATGCGAGAGTCATTAGACTTGATGTTGTTCCACACCGGGACACTAAGAAACGATGTCTGACTAACATGATCTACATGCTCCATTAATTCCATGGCTGCCGAAAGCAAGATCGGCGGGATTTCAGTCGCCGACCGTGCATGAGTTTGAAATGCCGGAGTCTGTGCTTAATTAGGTAACAGTGCATGACTAATGAGGACATGCTGACCATGATGTTTGCCATCTCTGTGGCCATGTTCAGGTGGCCGGCGGGACCTTCGCTCGACTGCAAGGCTCTTGCCAAAATTTGGAGCACGCCGGCAGTTACCTCATTGAAGGCCTTGTTCGAAACTTCTGAGGATGGCATGACAAGCAGGGAATGTGAGCGTAGATAACAAAAATGGGAACAATTCACTTGTCATTATATGGCAGATGAACACATTAAAATTTCATGTCATAATACGAACTCGGCTCGGTCACCCGTACCATGTGGCGGCATGCGGATTCAGAAGCACTGATCTCTGACCACATCTCGGACCACGTGTCAACTTTCACACACACATAATCTATTGTCCTGGCTAAGTGTTTAAACCCCGCAGATGCGGCCACAACACTAATTGGCACATATTTAATGCTCACATCTTCGACAGTTCTTCCAATCACTCATCTGAAACCTCATTACTTTTTTCTACAATTTGACTAGCAACCGTCACGTCCATTTCGAGCTGCCCACAAACAGCGATACACCCTCCAACTCGCCAAATTCCAACACCGGCAACCAACCTTCAAGTACGTGTTTCTGTGGCATGCATGATTGTTAATTTATTTCCAATTAGGGTTCAACTTCAGGTTTGAGAATTCGCACAGCCATCTTACGGCAGACTTGGCGCGTATGAGGCGTACCGTACCCTGAACCTTCAATTTTGGGTTTCCGGTGTGAAAGCAAGTTACAGCGGAGGCCCTTGTGCTGGACCCGGCGCCTCAAACAGCTCTGACAACACCACAACCTCAAAAATTCAACTTTGGGTTTACGGCGACCAAGCAAGGCCCAGCGGCAATGGACCCTACATCACCTTCCCCAGCTCCAACAAAATTCAACTTTGGCTGGACCCAATCCCATTCCACAGAGAAGCTGGCAGTTCCGGCAGGCCAACCACTCAACACGTCAGGCCCAGCAGCAGTCGACTCGGAGCCCACACCATCTTCCCCAGCTCCCACAACATTCAATTTTGGCTGGACTCGGCCCATTGCCACAGAGAAGCCGCCGGTTCAGGCATCTCAACCATTCAACTTTGGAATGAATGTGGAGAGTGAGATTCTCCCCTCACTGCCCTCGCCACAGGATGTCCGGCACACCCGCCGTAGCTGTTCCAACACTCCCGACAATGGAGTGCCAGCGTCAGTGATCCCTCTCAAGAGACCCATGTCTCTGCCGCCGCCCTCAACTCCTCCTCAGGCACCGGCGGCCGAACATACAGCCAAGTTCAACTTTGGCTGGAAACAGCCACCTTCAACAACAGCGGCTGTTGCTACCCATGTTGGGTTTGACCAGAATAATAAATGTAAGTCGCTCATCTATATGCATGAGTTATCCGAAGATTAAACACCATTCTAGCATTCCAGTTCGGTTGTAAGGTCCCTCCAGCAAAGGTAGGGAAATGGACACCGGCGCCTATTACAGCCGCCGTACCACAAGCAGCACTGGTGCCAATGGCAATACCGGCGCCTAACATAGCCGCCGTGCCAGAGGCAGCACCGGCTCCTGAGTCAGACCCTTACACGCCAAAGGCCTTGCCGAACTGGGAGGGTGGTTTCCCCGCTGCCAAACGATGAAAACTCGGTCCCGCCAATCAAGTGACCCGCCAAGACACCATCGGACGCCTTATCGGTGACGCTGAGAAGGCTGCCATTGACATTGTGAAACGGCTCAATGGGGATGAATGTAAGTCCTGCAACTGACATGACTCTTCCAACTTTACTGACTTATTTACAGTTGATCGACTCGCCCAAACAATGCTGGGTAGCCTCATTAGGCCCGGTGATGATGTCCGAGATCCCATGCCAGAAGATGTCTTGGACAGCAACCGCGCTGTATTATCAGCGTTCTGTGAGTCCAGAGATCGGTTGACTAGGATCTTCAAGGATCTTATCACCCTTCATCATGCATCTGAGCACCACATACGCCAGATTTCGTTCATGGACTCTCTTGCAAATGAGGTTGAGACAGCAGAGAGGACCGCCGGTAGTCAGTAGTACATACAGTATATCTTTCAATTAGTCGCGGCTATTTCTTTAGTACCACCAATGTTATGTTAACGGCCAGACATTCACATTGCCGATGAGTCACACCGATGTGCACCAGCGGACAGTGTGCTTTGTATTTCATGCCGGCGTATCCTACAGATGTAATATGACATAATGATTACTTCCTGCCACGCTTAGCCCTTGAAGCTTCCGGCGCAGTGGTTTTACTCCTGGTTCGCTTTGCCGGCGTGTCACTCACAGCGTGAGTGCCACAGCGGTTTAAGTTCTTGGGAGGCTCATTTGATGTATATGCGACCTCCTTGCTTCAAGTTCCAGGCACTAACAATGTGGCCGGCGCCTTCAATGGTATTCCCTGTGACTTGAGAGGCTGTCCGGAGGGAATAGAACCTTTTATCGGAGGATTCAAAACCCCGCCGACCTCGGCGACAACTTGTCTGGTATCCCGGCATGAACCTGCAGCCTGCTTCTTCTTGGTCGGCAAGGTGACCTTTGGGGGCGGCGAAATCTCGGGCTCTCCACCAGTGGATGGTGCTTCCTTATCTTCACTGGATGGACTAACACCATCCTCTCCAAGATCACCGTTCAACTCGTCCTCTGAATTGCTATCCTCCGCCACACGGTGTTACGTCGACTGTAGGTCGGCGTGTGCGAACTAGGATAGGTCTTCTCAGCGACGACTCGAGTGAGTCTACTGAAGCTGAGCGTGGTCTAGCCTTGACGGAACGTCAAGGATTCCTCCGGCGATCTCGGTAAGACGGCGCTCGTCGAGATGCAGGGCTAGCGGATACGTGCAAAGTCGTATGGGGGCGACTTTGAAGTGCGGTCTCACACAAGGAAGCTGTTTAGGCTTAGATGAGCAAGTTCTTGGGAGAACCTAGTAGATTAAAGTAAAGTATAATCTACAACAATGTGTCTACTTATACAGGGTATGTGTATGTATTCTAGCTCAGTCTGTAATCTATAGTATATCGTCAATCTAAGATAACCAGACATGAGGAGAGATAGTATACATGAGGCTTAGCCTCTGATCATACATGCAGCGCCAAGTGCGACTGCGCAATCAACAGGAGGCGCATAGAAGCGCTCCGGATCTTCATGAAGCGACATGCTGTATACATGCGCTGATCTAGGGTGTCCATGAGGCGTACAGCCTCCATGGAACAGGTACAAGGCCGTCTAGGCCAGGGGCGGGGTCATAGCGCCAGGCGGGGTCATAGCGCCAGGGGCGGGGTCATGGCGGTCCAGACCGCTGTCTTTCTAGGCGCGGGCAGCGCACCGCCGCGCGGGGAGTCTAGCAGAGCGGGGGCAGGCGTAGGGAGAGCTGGGGCTCTAGCAGGTGTTACAGATCCCTGTAACACACGGCGGCGGTTAGCTTTAGGGTTGGCTTTGCCCTTACCCTTCCCTGTGCTCTGCTTTGTGGCATTGGCACGGTGAGCACTGGGTGGCCACAAGTCCGCCTCTTGCATCTCACCATTGGAATCTTTCCAGGCCTTGAATGAGAAGGCCAGTTGCATGTCGTTTTTCTGGCGGTCAAACCAGAAATCTAGTACGGTGGTGGCATCTGCTTTATTTATCTTGGATGGCTCCTTGAGCTGCACAGCGGCCGGCCAATGGGTGCCGTCAAAGAACGCCCATGGGTCATGGATTACATCTCCCCATGGCACCGCCGCTTTTAGGTTTTCTTCGCCGGAGCACATTCCTGTTAAGAATCAGAATGATGTACAATCTGACAGAGCAAAACAAAGTACTATAGAGCTTCGTCAAGAAAGACCGAATCATGTGCTGTTGTTCGGCTCATCTCCAACCCGTTGTGTCGGGCAGAATCGGCCACCCATTGGTGTCTTTGTCAAGTTCAACTAATTTCTTGGCAACTCATTTCTTTGATTTCACCATCTGGGGTTCCCTGTCGTCCCCATCTAAACATTCATTTGCCTCAGTGTGCTCGCCGGTAAGACATTCACATGGCCTCGCCAAATTGCTCCCCCGCATATTCCACCCATTCAGGCATGATGATGCTGTCCCAATCCCTTGTCTTGATAAAGCTCTCTCCATCCCCGAACTGTTCATTGAAGTCGTGGCTGCAGTCACTGTTGAATAAATCACCGATTGATCGGAGATGACACTCACCCTCCCAACATAAGCTTGCCTTGGCTGTCCTTCCAAGCTGATAGGATGCAGACCCTCATTCCAGCTTTCTTGAACATTTTAGTCGTGAAATGCTCGATCATGTTGGCGCCCTTGCTCTCGGCGACCTCGGCCTGAATATCCGGCGGCACCGCTTCGTTGTTCCACTTCTCTGCCATGGCCTCCGCTTCCTCTCTCTCCTCCGCCGACAAATGATTAATGACTGTCTTTGCTGCCTTCGGCCATCTGGTAATCATCCCCTCGCTTCCAGCCATCTCTCCCGTCTCCTGTCGAATCGAGGCTTTGTGTGTGTGAATCAAGACTTGCCTCGCCGTCCAATGACGGCCATACTTGATAAGGGGCTTTGCAGCTCCTCTCCGGCGAGACTGGTTCTGCAACCACTGCTCGTAAATCTTTGACAGACATGTTATCATGCTCCGGGATCTCCGATATGTTATAAACTGTTAAATACCTTTCGCCGAGCTTTCAACAGGGCCTTTTCCTTGGTGGGAGCTTGGAGGGACGCTTCCTTGTAGATGGCAAGCAGCACCCTCGATCTTTCTTTACCTTTCACAGACTTCCAGTCTTCTAGGTGGGCTCTGAGGACCAAGACTTCAGCCTTCTGCAAGCAAACCTTTTTTTGTGGAACCACAATAGGAGATTCACTTCTTGGCATGTTGTGTTATAAAGGATGGTGATGGTGAATCTTTCCAGACTTAACAACAGTTGGTTGACTGTCGTTAGTGTTCCATGGTTTTGTTCTGTTCTGCTCAGTTCATTCACCCTATATTACAGTTCATATCATGGATATATAGTGGATATGATTGCTGTGTTCTGCTCGGTTCAGCTTATATTATAATTCTTATTATGTACTTGTAACCAATGGTGATTAATTGATATGACCATATTGCATCGGTCAATTGAAACTTGTCATTCTTACAGATTCTTATACAGTACTGGGCTCAACAAATGGGAGGTTCTAGACTACAAGAGTGGACTCCAAAACATAAGTATGCAGTGGTGGAATGGCAGAGAACATATAGGACGAGAAAGGTGGTTGGCAAATGGGTGGAGAGACCTATCATTAGTAGATCAGTTCCAGCAACCCCTACTAAGTCTCCCTCAAAGCAGGAATCTTATGGTATGCTTTACCATGGGGGAGACGACTTTTCAGGCGACCTTGGTGATCACATGGTGACTCCACTGCACCTGCCAAAGTCCCTGGTGAGCCATCCACCAATATCACCTCTATTTCACCACTGATCTGTATTCAGAGTCAAAATGACTATATACGTCAATGGATCCCAAAGACCAAAGCATATCTTGACATACCCCTTGAAAGAGAAAATCCATCAGATAGGTCATGTATCATCTGTGGGACAGATGGTGTCTATAAATGCCATGGATGCTTCGGTGAGCCTCTCTCTTGCACAAGTTGTTGCAGAACCCAGCACCAGAGGCTTCCCTTTCATCGGGTTAGCCAATGGACAGGCTCATTCTTTGAGGAAAGTTGCTTGGTCAAGAGTGGGATGGTGATCTGGCTCGGACATGGAGGAAATGCATGCCCATGGGATGATGATGTAGGGGAGTCAGCTCTGTTCACTACAGGGGAAGGAGATTCCAATGATACGGATGCCGAGAGCATATTGAATGAACCAAATGCCGAGCCGAGCACAAAGGAGGCCCATGACCTACCGACCAGTGTGCCGTTCATTAAGAACAACAAGGCCATGACAACAATAGTCGACAAGTCTGGAGTACATACCCACATCGTCAAGTATTGCACATGCCCAGAGGCCGACACCGCCGATATACAGTTGTTTAACATGGGTTTGTTTCCGGCGTCATTCATAGAACCAAAGACAGCATTTACCTTCGATGTCTTGAATGACTTCTTACTCGACAACCTGGAGTGCGGGACTTCGGCAATGAATTATTACAGCAAGTTAAGGAGGATGACCACGAGTGTCTTTCCTCACTTGGTGCCGGTGAGCTTTGTGGTGCACCATCTGCCATTTCATTAATTGTCATAAAGGACTGTTACCGGGAGCTCATGAGGGTGGCAAGACAATGGCGGAAGTTGAAGCTCCTGAAGTGGAATGGCTTCAGCCATGAGGACAAGGAAGTGAGACCTGGCGATCTAGCCCTCTTTTGTCCGGCATGTCCTCAGCCAGGAACTCATGTCACATTGCCTGCCGGAGGCACCACCAAGGACATCGATGCTAACAATGGATCTGGACGAGAGACTCCGAGTTGGTTATACACAAGATCGCTTGTCACGGACGGAAACTTCAAAGCTGAGCATCTTCATGCCACAAATCCCGCCGATGAAGTGTCTCTCATGGACGGTCGTGGCTTCATGGTCGGCGATGCCTTGTACAAGGAGCATTTGGCCATTGCCAAGGATGCCATGCAACGCTCGGAGTGCAACAACCACCACGCGGTAAATTTGGCAAATGCATCTCGTCACAGATTGGAGGCCACCGGCATCGGCGGATGTGCATGTGCGAGGCATGGTTGTTTTGTCCCGCATGCCATGGTAGATTTTCAGAAGGGAGAAAGGTGTGTACAATCACTTGGACCGTGTGCATTATTGCCGACTGTCAACAGACAGATGAATATGGATTATGCGCTGTGCGAGGCATTGAAACTCAACGCCAAGGGCATCCGCCGTGTATTGACTTTCTATGATGTGAACTGTCAGTATCATAAGCACCTCCAGGACCGCATCGCCGACAGTCCATTGCTGAAGATGCATGATGAGCTGGAAATCACCCCCAGCATCGGACTATGGCATGTCCATGGCCATCAAGACAGCTGCTATGTCAGATATGCTTCCAATTTCATACAAGGCACAGCCAGGATCGACAGCGAGATCATGGAGACATTATGGGTGCCGTTAAATATAATCTCACCGGCGGCCCGTGGCATGGGAACTCCTCACCGAAAAGAATGCCTGGATTACCAAATGAATGATTGCAACTTCACGAAAATGATCAGAATGAGTGGGTGTCTCATTTATTCTGTGCATGAATCTGACAGCAGAGACCGTACAGGCAAATCGCTTTGCCGAAAATACAAGGAAGCTATGAAAGGGGTCGCCGACAGCAACATGGCATTTGAGCGGCTTGATGAGACCGCCGATGCCGATAAAGTCAAAGATTGGGAGGCCCAAGAGAGGTTGGCACATGAACAGCGGCGCCATGATCCAACAGCAATGGACATTTATGAAGTTCAACTGCGCAAAGGTATGTAGACTTCTCGTACAGACAGTCAGTTCTGATTCTTGCACAGCGCCGACAAGAAAACAGCAAGAGTTAAGGTTGTTAACGGCGCAAGGCCGGCGGCCTGGCGAGGCACGCCGGAGAGGTGCGGCAATGTGGCTGGCAGAGGGCCTTGCTATCAAGGAAGCCCAGGTCATGCTGCAGATTGATGTGAGAAAGCTCGGACATCGGGCAACAGATACTCAGTGATTGGCGATTGGTCGCCGACGGGATACTCTGCAACGGGATATCAATCGCTGGACGGCGGCCGGAGCAATAATTCTTGGCGAGGAATTAGGCAACAATGACATGCAGATCATGCAACCAGATCTGTTAATACTTCAAGAAGACACTGAAGAAGATATGGATGCCGAGCTTAGAGCGTTTGAGCCGGAAAAGGGGGTGATTCCTTTGCCTTCCAATTTGGGGCTAGAGAAATGTGTGGCCCTCGGGGTTGCTGATATTGCCGATCAGGAGCTCACGCTCCGGCAAGGTCAGGCGAATGGGGCCCTGCACCACATCAGGGTGCATTTGGCTGACAAGGTGGTCATTTTCCGGAAGACCCAAACTCGTAAGCGTGCATGAAGTCATCATCGAGGAGCAATAACCAGATTGCTTGCATCAGCTCGTGTCGACAATGACTGAGGACCTCAGCTGTCGCAGCCTTCTTGAATGTGTGTCGGTAGAAATCTTGAAAAGTGTCTGTAAGCTGGTGGAAACATGTCAAACATGGACAAATTAGAATGATGAAACTCATTGTACTACCTTCGGAATGTATGCGAGATGGTGTGCTGCAAATGATGTTGGCTTACTTCATACATATTTTGACTGATTCCCTAGGAACATATAAATGGGCCAGAGGGATGCAGTTCCAAAGCTTGTGAGATGGGTCGAGTCTGACCACAGCATCATTGCCGCAACCACGGTCTCGAGAGTGCAGCCACCCTCTCGGGGCCATGAACATATTTTCTCGTGTTCATTGATCATCGCTTGTGAATTGTAGATCTCTCCATAGATTTTCTCTGCAGGAGTATTGTCATCTGGCCGATAAAACATGTTGAATGGAGTAAAATGAAAGTGTTCTGCAGCTGATTCGTGGAATGCAGCTTTGATGACTTCAAGGGGCTTGCGATAGAATAGGCCAGGAACCTCGAACAGTGGAGCCACGTCTTCAGATGTATGTTGGACTCCGTCAGCAGGGATGCGAATCTTCACGCTAGTTGCTTTCCAACTGTCTAACAGCGAGAATGATGAACAGATGTCTTTGAGATCGTCCTGATAGTTGTCGAGGCGATTGCTTTCCTTCAAGGCCCGAAACTCCTTGAGATCAGCCTTGTCGAAGTCCTCTGCAAGGATGACCTCATTTACAAGACGATCTAACTCGGCCAAAGATTTCATAACGGAGCCACTGTAAAACCAACTCATGAGGTGAAATGTTGTGGCATTGAGAAATGGTATGAAGTAATTAGTTGGAGAATGCATCGAGCTACCAAATCCTGACCACCACGGTTTGGCCCCAAGGCTGTCCGGAGTCTTGATAAATGTCAGCGAGTCAGACAAATGTGCCATTGAGGTGAAGTTATCAGGATTGTATGATGGAAGGGAATGTGTGTATTGACAATACAGACCATAATGATCTGGTGCTGTGGTGAGAATGACGGGTTGGCTAGAAACTGGGGGGGGGGGGTGGATCTGGTATGTTTGTGTTGTCCGAGGTTGAAGGTGGGGCTACCACTGGAATAGGTGGTAAGTCATCACAGAATCTTTTCGGTAAGCGATGGCGGCAGTTTGGTAGACCTGAGGCCCAATATGCAGGTGGTGATGGAGACCATGAGCCTGGGTCCTGAATAAGTTGGATATGAAGACGACTCAGATATAATAAATGAATCAACGTACTAGTGGTAACCCTGGCTCAGTAAAGCCTTCATGTATGTCCTGGCGAGCTATCAGTGCTGCTGCCGCATCTTCCTGACGACGTGTTTTCGCTGATAGCTGGATTTCTTGGTTGTGTCTTCTCTTTGCTAGAGAAGTGGCGACAGCATCAGTTATTTTGCTTGAACAAAACCGCTTGTGGGTACTAAGAGCCCCATGAGAGTCAAATTCTCGATGATAGCCCCTACATATGTGGGTCTTAACCAGGGGCCTAAGATTTTTTTATGTCATTATCTTACGTCCCATCATTGATTCCCAATAAGTGGTAATTATAAAGGTGTTGACCAGTCAGTGATATGGTTGTGTCTGTCCCCACCTCCATGAGTTTGGTCCCTGCTGACTGGGCTTTGGCCACCACTCATCTTGCCAGTGACTATGTTTGCTGCCAGTTCTGTGCTATTGTTGGAGTGACGCCGAAGGTCCTCCCACCGCTGGAGCTTGATGTTGTTTTGATGCTAGGTTGCTCCCACCTCGCAAGGATCCTTGCCGATGCATATCTCAATCCTGGTAATGACCTTTCCATGCATCCGGCGCTAGCGTTGATTTGAATTGGCTTAGTCACTATCAACTTCGATATGACGAGATATTCCGAAGTACTGCAAAAGCAGGAGAGAGGTGTTAACCCTGGACGTGAAGAATTTCTCCTCACCCGATACCCGCCAGATCGTGAGATTATCCTGGAGCGTCCTGCAGTTGTCCTTGACAAATTTGGTCTTATCGTGCTATGGTACCTCCCCGGAGCAATTGATGCTGCCATTCAGGTAGACTTGCACAACTCGCCGATGATCTCCGCTCACTGTTACAGAATGACATGCTTTCGGCGATGATGATGATGTCGGGCCCGCTGGGCAAGAATATCACCCGTGGTACATCGCCGAAGGACACATGGTGTACGCATGAATCCAATTTTCAAATCAGCGAACATGGCCTTACCTCAGGGTGCATAAATCTATCGCCGGGGTGGTTCCTGCAAGCTCATCTGGTGCATTGACTTTTTGGAACAGAATATTCTTGCCTGATTTCTTCATAGGCTCCACAGTTTCAGCCTGAAGTGTCGGCTACCCTTAAAAGCGACGATGGTGCGGCTTACTGTCGGGCAATGTGCAGACCGGCGGCCCTTGTTGCCGCTGCATTGAGAGTCATGCACTCCGGTCTCTATTGGTCATCATTGACAACACAACTGGGGCTTGGGGTTTGGGCAAGTACTCATCAAACACAGACCATGGGGACTCAGCTCAGAGAATGGGCATCTGTCTTTACCGTCGTCGCCGTTATGTGCAACCAGTATACTCCCTTGCACCGAGATGCTCTATCCCACGCTCAATGGTTTGACATAATGACCAGCGTCGGTGGTTATACATCGGCACAAATGAAGATGCCAAATATTGGCATTGAAATTGCCTATGATGCAGGTGTCATGGCTGGCACCTCGGGAAGAATTGTTAGGCATGGGGTTAACTGGATGAACGGCGATCGAGTTGGCTGGGTGTGGTACATGAGGGATGATATTCATGAATTTGTAGATGTACCTCGAGGTGATTATTCAAGGTACAAATCTGTAGTTACCGATGCGATGGAATTCACATAGAATTGGGGTATATATAGTACATTTGGGGATTTCTTCAAAGTCATTGATCCCTCAGTTCCATACATGCATCGGCGAACTTCTGGACCCATCTATAGATGTATCGGCAATTGTCAATGCCATTCGGCGCCATATCGCTGGTTTAAGTTTATCAGTGGATGTTGTGCAGCCCACTGGGCCTGCCTGTTAATCCCGTTAGCCAAGACTGGGCCCGTTCTGCTCGTTAGATGTGATATGGGCCCACCCCTGATTTAAGATGTTTCCCCTGGGCCTGTGTGCTGATTTGGCTTACCCGGGGTGGGCCCATTGCATCGACCTGGCGTCATTGGGCCCACCCGGCCACTGCTATACAGGGCGTAGGCCTGACGGTATACACTCCAGACACCTCCGTGCCCGTGCGTCTGCCTAATGTCCCTTGGGGTTTCATTATGATTATGCGGGCCCATGAGCTCCGAGATAGAGAGCTGGGCCCAGCGGTGTTCATGAATGTGGTGCTCCAGGCCCACCCATCCGCCACACATACGGGGCCTGGGCCTATTCAATTTCAGGAGACCCGATATGGGCTCCCTCGGGCACCTTATCGCCATGGCCCCAGCTCAGCCACATATAAAGAAGTATCTGCTTGGGCCCACCACTCCATACATCCCACCAACAATGAGCCCATTGCTTTATTCTGCCTACCGTGTGGGCCCACCAGCTGCATCAAAGCATATTGGTAGGACCCGCCGGACTACATCGCCGGTGCGCTGAGTGATCTCCGCCGGCCGTTGATTACTTTTGCACGTCCGGTAGTCCGCTACATACGCCGGTGGTCGTTGACCTTATGATCCACCATCATTTCATCACCACTACATTCGCCGGTGGTGGTATTTCCACTCACTGGTTTACTTTTACATTCGCCAGAATGCCTCATTTTTTTGGCCGCTGGCAATTCATCGGCGCCAGTATTCCAGCCATCTCGGAAACTCATGGGCCCACTTGGAATTGTTGAATCATCCCTGTTCCTCATTACTGCGAGCCCAGCTGTAAACACAGTCTACTTCATCCAGACCCCTGTCAGCCCACTGCAATGTTTCGAAGAATATTGGCAGTGGGCCTGCCCATAACAATATGGTACACAGCACTGCCGGGCCCACCCATGTACACCGACATACACTCATAAAGTGGGCCCATGGTGGGCTGGCCCATGTCACATGGAGAAAATGTCAAGGTGGGCTGGCCAGTAAGTAAGGTGATATGTCACTGTATTATGTGCATGAGTCCCCTGCCACCAGAACAGCCCTCTGCCACTGCACGGCTATAGACGATACTGGAGCCTCACCACCTCTATGACGATAGACGACGATAGATGATGATAGAAGATAAGCGGCAACTGCCGGCTTAGATAAGCGGTCTGGACCGCATATGACGACACATGACGACATAGGTCTAGAAGACCTATTTATGTTATCAAGATAGAAGGCAAGCCTCGTGTTGCCTCATGCACTGATAGAAGGATGCCTCATGGATCCTATCTACGATAGAAGCCCGCCTCATGGACGCTATCTCTGACTCATGTAGATAAGCAGATTAGAACCCAGCTTTAGGCTGAGCTTAGATATGAAGATTAGCCTTATATAAGGTCGAAGATTAAAGTAGACGTTCCTTACTTTAATCTTACTAGGTTTACCCTTGAACTCCTTGTCCCGCTAAAGCTACCTGCTTGACATCGACTCGTACCTTCAGTGACGCCTCTCACTGTCTGTAAACCGCTATCATCTCAGCGTAACCCCTCGTTAAACCACCACAAGCTACATTCAAGTATGCAACCTTTGCTTGTCTGTAAAGGCCGACGACTCTCAGCACTCGGTACCACTGTCGTGGTTGTCGCTGTTTAGATCATCCTAGTCACACACGACCGTGTGTCGTAACAGGCGGGACCCTGCATGGGCGCACCACTGCTGACTTCCCCTGGAAAACACTCCCCAAAGAATTAGCTCATCTTGGGTATGTCCTTGTTAATTACCCTGAAGAGACTTTGATGCCCAGCGAGCTGTGACCAACTCTCTCTCAAAGCAAAGGCATCCATGACCTGACCCAACAACATTGCGTCAATCTTGTCAATTGTCTCAAGGCAGGCACCCTCACCATCCGAGCAGTTACAAGTGATGCTGCCCATACACGGCTCACCACCTCCAAAGACCCTGTTGTCATTGGGGACACCCCCTTGGCTTGCTCCACGCACTCCCGTGGGCGATGTGTTTTCGCTGATGGCCGCATTGACCGAAAAGGTCTTCCCCATTGTCATGTCCCTTCTTCTTCACCCGCCTCTTCTATCCAAGATCAGCCTCACTTACACACCTCTTCTTGTCATGCCCAAGTCATTGTGGAAATCACGCGGCCGCCACCTCGGCCAGCTTCTCGAGCACTCCACAAACCATCTACTACCTCTGCAAGAGATCTTATCCCAGCCATCGCTTCTATCCAGGGAGAATCCAGCTCTGAAGATGTTAGTACTAACGATGAAGATGATTATGAGGACAAGGATTCCCAAGTTAGTGAGACTGTTGTTCGTCCTGCGAAACACCTTAGACATCGGTAATACTAAACGTAAATAGTATATGTATGTAGCTCAAGAAAATCAGTGCTTGAGCTTCTGATCTAATTTTGTCCTCCCATTGACATGAAGTAAAGTTTCAGCATCATTATTTTCTCAATGCAATATTTAGTAACGAAAGTTCTTTCATTCAGAGCTCTCCGGAGCCTCTAAGAGGCCCACATTTCGCCCTCTACACCCTCCTCACCACTCTTGGGCCCTCATAATGTCTTGTACGTTGATTTTTGCTTGTGTATTTTTGCCTGTTGTCAACGTGATCTTTAGTAATCAATTTACTCTCATTCTGAGCCCTTGCTGAAGCCTCCAAAAGGCCTACAATTCGCCCTCTACACCCTCCTCAGCCAATACTCTTGGATCTTTGTAATATCCTGTACATTTATTTGTACTTCTATATTTCTGCTCGTTGCCAACGTGATGTTTAGTAATCAATTCTGAGTCCTCTCTGGAGGCTCCAAAAGGCCTAGAATTCGCCTTCTACACCCTCCTCAGCTACCACTCTCGAACCATTGTGATGTCTCATACATTTATTTTCGCTTCTGCCCATTGTTCTAACTTGTTTGGTCTGAATAAAATTAAAATCAGGCCGCTCATAAGTATCAGGCTTCATGCGGGTGCTTCATGCCCTGTTTTTTTTTTCACCCACCTTCCGGATTCCCAGTCGCTTACCTAGTGTTTTGTGCATCCATTCAAAATTTTGCCCTCTCAACCAGGTAAGCAATGCCCTCTCAGTTCTCATTTGCACGAGGCCTATACTTACGATGCACTTGAATATCAGTCTAACTTGTGTTACTTGCATTAGTAATATGTTCTTGTGTACTATTGGTGAGCAACAACTTCATGGTCATGTTGACCTCAGCTTATGTGCATCTACTTTTCGTAGATCACCTACTCATTTGGATCAGCAAGTCAGGTAAGTGTTTTCTTCATTACATGTCATTTTTTCTGATCTTGTGCGAAGGCCATGATGCTTAATCTATCAGATTACTACTCTGACCCTCCCGACGACCAGGTGTCCTCACCTCCCCCATACCTTCCTGCATCATCGCCTGCTACTATGGGTTCTGGATATACGCAGGAAGAATATGCGCAGGAAGAATATCTTCGGGAACAGTTTGGAGGTGGTCGATATAGGGATATGCCAACAGAACTCACTCCATCAAGACTGCATAGCACCATCAAGCCAACATCGCGGGATGTTGGTATTGCAAGGGATGCTGCTATTCGACGTCAAGCAGCTTGCGCCTCCAGTGACCAGACTGCTAATGGCTTTGTTGCTAGTAAGTCTTCATCAAAAACTTTTCTGCCATACTTCTGACCTTACTTTTGCTACTAGATTCCATTCACTCTGCTGAAAATAGCTGTCACAATACTCCTTTGGTTGAGGATGCACCTGTGCAGTGTTCTGTGCAGGTGCAAGATCTATTTGCCAACACTTTGGCACCCACTGGCCAGCAGCCAGCTATGCCTCAAAATACAGACGTATTCCACCAGCAGCCCCAGTATAGCGCTCCAAATTCAGACTCCATGGCTCTGTACAACCTCACGATACCGTCCAGAGCCCGGCCTTTGTGGTCTGTGCCGTCACCTCTGATGCAACACGAGGCTCCCAGCACCTCTCCCAGCCCTCTGGCTTCCTATTCTCAGTTACCAACATCGCCTCTTCTCATGCCTGCACTTGCAGGTCCAAGCTCTCAGGGAGGTCTGCAACCTCAAGTGAAAAATGCCGTGAATATGTGTGGGCCGGATGGGCCCTGGAATTTTTCATCCATAGTGCCAGTAAACTCCTTGCCAGCTCAAGGAGCTGTGCCAAGAACACATATTATCCCGCCAACTCCCATCAAGCCTGCAGAACTTTTGGCTCTGTCTGCTGCCAGTGGGTCAGGTCAGCATGCAGTCACATTCAGTACATCAACCACTGGAGGATCTCATATCGAGTCTGATTTCACAATGGACGATGATGGTGCACCTGTTGGTGGTCGACATTCAGCAGAGACGAACTCCACACTTGATGAGGGTTTTGCTGTATTGGATACCATCGTCATTAACACTGCAAAAAATACGAACATGCCTTCCTACCAGGTAATCAATCTGTGGATGAAGAGTCGAGGTCGAGCAATCAACTCTACCACCTACTGGAACCTTTATGTGGGGTACTTCAAGGACCGCATGCGCCAGGAACTTGCAAGGCTCGGTGAAGATGCTCCTCCCCAGGATGGTTCAATGACACCTAGTAAGTGGTCCATTTATTCTGTGTGCTGTTTGCTCAATGCTGATCATTGATTTGATAGGTGCTGGTGTTTGTCGTCGGTGCTACGAGCTCTTCAAGAAAACCTACCCCGATTCTTATCAGGACATCCTCGATACCTACGAGGAACTCAACATGCTGTCCGATGCTCCTCAAACAATTGTGCAGCGCACGCAAACATTCCAGAAGCTCTACAGGAGGGTAGGAAGTATTGTGAGTGATCTCATTCTGATTTCATAATATTTTCTTGATGAGCTGGATGTTCTATTTGCAGCTTGATGGAGCTGCGGCCAGGCAAGGTTTTGAGGCCACTCTCATTATGTGTGGTAATATCGTCAATGAAGACTCATCACTCGGCCATGTTCACATGACACCCGGCACTGGTGGTGTAAGTGTTGCCCACCTTGAAATCTTCTCATATTTATTAATACCCTCCATAGTTCTTTGAGAAGCGCTGCCGAGCCAGTAATGATGCCATCATTGGGCATATGAAAGCCCATGTATACAACACTACCTCGCTTGCTGCCGTGGAACAGGCCTTCAAGGCCACCGAAGGCGATCGAGAGCAGGCACCAATAGAGGTCTTGGATGTGAGCTCATCTGAGGCAGGTGAAGAGAAAGATGCATTGAAGTCGCTCAAGGCTGGGCTAATCAAACAAGTTGGTTCATAGCACATCACATCTCACAGTGAGATTCTGACATTTTTTTCTTCAGCGGACCTTGGTGGCAAGTTCGCAGATAGACCCTTCCCGTGGATCTTGATGGCCAGTTCACTCGCAAATGATCATCTACGCATCGAGGGGTATCCCGTGCACTTGAGTTCGATGCCGGGAGAGTCTCACAATACTAATTCATGAAGTAAAGGTGTTGCAGGACTTACACAATGCGAGGTCAATGTGCTCGCTCATGCATTGAAGGCAAAGACAATCCGTGTTGTCAAAGTAACAAATGCTACCAAAGGTATGTGCCAATATTTTTGTGGGATTGCTTTAGCTCATAATGACTTGACAGCTGCTATCATAGCCTCCAAAGAGCCTGTCATCATTGGCAAGGCACCTCCTGTAGGCTCTCCCTTTCCAAACGCAAGGTGGATGTTTGTCAACGGAACTTTTGATTATAATGGCCCTCCACGCCTTCAATCCAGCTCTGCTGCAACCAGGAAGAAGAAGCCAAAGGTCGCCTCATCATCTCGCACCCAGGATGATGATGGAGATGTCGCATCCATGGACTCCACGACTACCATACGTCCCAAATCCAATTTACATCTCGATGTAGTTGTACCTCCATCACATCCCTTCAAGCTTGCGAAGTGCCCCCCTACCAAACCAGTGCCAACTCCAATACAGGTCTTATCCAGTCCAGATGGTGTCAACAAGCCTGGTGCTGACCATCCCCTCGACATTTCTGATGGCAAATCCCCCAGCAAGGACGATGCGGACCACAATGATTCATCACGCTCACGCAAGCAGAAGTTGCAGGCTAAAGGTGGTATATGAGCTATGAAGAAACATGTACGATCGATCGAGTTAGAGGAGAAGACAGTTGTTGAGAAGAAACCAAGTGTGAAGGCTGCAGGCAAGGTTCGTGCCAAGGGAGGGCGCTTGTATCCTCTCATTGTAGAATCCTCAGGGGATGAACAGCAACCATCTCCTGGAGCCATGCACCCTGAGACCTCCGAGGCTGTTGATCGTCCGCCCTCTACACAAGTCACGGAAGCACCTATTCTTTCAGTGGTGCCATCTTCCCCACTCAAATCAGATCATCATGTGGGTCCTACAGAAGATAATGGGCAGTCTGTCCATGTCCCAGATGTCCCTCTTCCGCTACCTCAAAATCCATCATGCGCACCAAAGTTGGAGGACACTCATCTCAGTCCCTCCCTTTCTGGCCATGATGCACCAGACCCTCATGATCGTGATCCTAATAGAGCACACTCACATGAGCCCCACGACAATCAGTATCCTCCCAATTGTGGTCACTCCAGGGAGCCTCATCATGTGAGTGACTTCCGCGACCTCCCACTCAATAATGCCTGTGACCTGCGCCTTCATCGAGACAACTCTCCTGCACTGCATTATGACCGTCGCTACCCCAGTGATGAGCAACATGGTGGGTACATGTACCACGAGGAGGCAGACCGGCAGGCATATGCCAGGCGACCACAACTCGGAGGTGACTACCCTTATCCAAGGGAGTATTCATATTATGGCGACCATGGTGAAACATACCCACCAGGATATGCATATCCTGCTCACCACGAGAGCACAGGCTATCATGATGCCACTGGGTATAGGCGACCGTACAATTGTGAGGCTCGATACCCAGATCGTGAGCTTCTTGATGATTGCATGCGTGGACCTCCCCTGCTAGACATGCGTGGAGAATACTTGTATCCAAGCGGTCGCGAGGGTCATGCTGGCTATGAGCGCACATATCAGCGTCAGCCTCCTCGAGCAAATGAAACTCGAGGGAGTCGGAGTCCCATTACCAATGTGTCGCTCACCCTGCCTGCAGCAGAGCAGGAAAAGCATGAAGGAGCAACCATGCCAAGGTAAATGCGAGGTGTCTCTCATGCTAGTATGAACTTTTTTGCTTCTTGGGCCTGGTCTTCCCCTTGTACCATAAGTCACTACTCGCCTTCCTGCCTATCATGGACGATCCATCTGTGTTGCTACATCTTGTTTGTGCTACTGTGCACCCTCTTTTATCTCCAATGGACCCTCTTGTACCTTGTGTCCTCTCATACCTTGCATCCTCTTGTACCTTGTGTCCTCTTGTACCTCTTGTACCTCTTATACCCCATCTAGCGCGTCCTCTCATATCCTCTTGTTTTAGCACTATATGACACTTTCAAACCTATTTTTTTCATTGAGTGGCGTGCCAATGTGGGTGCTCAGAATATAGTGCTACAGATAAAATATTCATAAACCAAATTGCATTGTGAATGTAAGAACATGAATACGAGGTGGCAACATATTGAAAGGGTAAGATCTCCATAAACATAACATTTGAAACATAAATAATGGGGAGGCACGCAAGCCTTGGGAGGAGGAGGACACCTCCCACAAACAAGGATACCTTGTAGAGGTGTGCAAGAGGTTGCACTGTGCACAACCCTCCCAGGGAGTTTGGTGAGAACCTCTCTGGGAAGGTAGGTCTCAGAGGCCCATGAGAGAATGAGAGAGCACATACTATTATTAGAGGGTGGGAGGGGGGGACTCGGAGACCAGTTTCCCATGACATGGAAACCGGGTCTGTCAGACCCGTGCAAACAGTAGGAAAGTGCTGCCAAGGGTGTAGAATTCTGCTTGCCAGTGGTGACATATTGAACCTTCTAGCTAAAGGTCGTGGCCTCGAGGCTTCCTTAGTATGCAGGCAATTGATTGCTGACACGAATGATTGAACATTTTAGTGCCAGTAACAGATCAATCTGGATAACATTGTTGCGTGATGATGTGTCATGTTCAACAAAGACTTGAGTCAGTGAGTTCTACTACTATCTAGCTTGTCACAAAGATATATAAAAGTGGCATTCCTTGAATCGATACTATATTCAGCACCACATGTTTCAATAATCACTTTACATTTAGGAATCATGAAAGGATTGTTGTCTCTTGCTCTCGTCACCATTAGTAGTGCCACGGCTCAGCTACGGCTGGCTCCGGCTCGGTATTTACCAGTTTGCGAGAAGTACGGCGATACCCATTAGCCAAACCACCGGTCACTGACTTGATCCAATGTATTAGCCATGTGAACCAGCTACAACTTTCTTAAGCCAAAAATTTATGAACCGTGGCTTGAACCGCTTTAAGCCAGCTCAAACCAGCTCAAGCCACATGGCAGTTGCATAGAAGGACAGCTTTTTTTGTTGCCTCCAGACTCCAGTGTTGTTGGTCGGATTCCCTTGATTTCTCTACTCGTGGGCTATTGTATACACTATGGATAAGGTTCCCATTCGAGTTGACAGAAGATTCAGGCTAGGAGACATTTTGGGATCCGGCTCATATGGTATGTTATTTACATATCACGATTACTGACTATATGTTGAATTCGACATTTGGACCTTATTAGCTGTCGTGTATCGCGCACAGAACATCATAAAGAATGATGCAGTTGCCATTAAACTTGAACCCATCACCCATTCATCATCTGTCCAGCATGAATACAACATTTTGAAACACCTTGAAGGTGGTGTTGGTATTCCTCATGCCCTCTGGTTTGGTAGGGAGTCGACATATCATGCTCTCATTCTCGATCTCCTTGGGCCATCCCTGCACAGTCTCTTCCTTTCTCACGGCCAAAAATTCAGCCTTGAGACTGTCATAAATCTAGGAGATCAGCTGGTCAGTCAGTGTGTGCTACTGTGTGGGTTGCATGTACTGACCCCTTTCCCCAGCTTTCACGTCTCGAATACGTTCACTCACACAATTATATTCATGGTGACATCAAACCACAGAACATTGTTCTGGGTCTTGGCGATATGAGGCACACCGCCTTCATTATTGATTTCGGTATCGTGAAGGAATTCTGGAATATGTCAACCAGTGTCCATATACCGTTTCGCCAAGGTCAATGTCTCACTGGCACTCCTGCGTTTGCATCAATCAACAATCACTTGGGAGTTGAACCAGGTCGTCGTGATGACCTCGAGTCACTTACGTACATGTTAATATACTTCTTGCAGGGCTCCCTTCCTTGGTTAACCAGTGACCAAGAGAAACTTTCCAGTTCTTCCATACTCGAGCGCAAAGTGAACACTACTATCGAAGATCTATGCCGTGGAATTCCTGTCGAATTTGCAACAATGCTCATTTACACGCACTCTCTCGCATTTTCAGAGGATCCCGACTACAATCACCTTTGTTCATTGCTTTGTACACTTCGTTCTACACTACCCGCACCAGCTGCGTGCTTGCTGGATATAAACCAGCCTGGTGTACCTATCACGCATTCCCCTTCCCCTCTATTCTTCGATAAGCCCTGTGTAATTGAGGCAGTGCCTCCATGCCTGCCGCTTCGCAGATCGACTCGTGTGTGAGTAGTCCATTTATCTTAGTACTTATGAACTAATGCGATTTTAAGTTTGCGTCCACAAAATGACTCCCTGTTGCATCATGCACCCACTTCAACTCCACGCCGGAAAAAAGCTAGATCATGATACTGTTGGATACCTGTAGCCTGTAGGGAGTAGTTTGTACATGTACTTTGTGATATAGTAGCATTCGCGGCACCTACAGTATCATTATTAATTTCTCACAACGAGCTTTGTGTCACACATATGACGTGGTGGATGCAATAGTCACTCGAACCGGATATATTGATATTTGCAAATTTCTTCCACTCCCACGCAGCGCCTCTTATCTTTCAACATCCCCTGCAGGCTGCAGGCTACAGCCTTGAAATAACCTTTGCCGCTCGCGAGGGACTCATCGTGACTTCCAGAACCATCATAATGGGTAATTCAGCCATACAACATAATGACACGACTTAGGAAGTGCTTATCGATGGAGATCCAGCTTTGATTCCATTGATCATTCAACTACACCTGAGGGTGAAGACGTGCTTGACTTCAAGCCTTTTGGCCCTCTGGAGTCTGGAGTTTCAAGTTGGAGTTGATTCTCTCCAGGTATGCACAATTGTGCGAAATTTTTTCACCCCCCACTGACTGCTGAATAGATTTGACCTGCCTGAAGCATGCATGAGTTGCAGAGTCTGCCTCATGACAATCACCCTTGAGGCTTTTCCATCAGGGTCTCAGGATCACTGCACATCGACATGTTCTGGGGTTTCCCCAGATACCATTATATATGTACGCCAATAATTCTGCTGTTGGATCATCTCCACTACCACCGCCATTAACATGCCCCCTCGACAGAAGAACACCCGGGCTACTGCCAGAGTTGCTGTTGTTGTTTCCACTGTTGTTCCCATTCCTCTCGCTCCTGTTGTTACTGCTCCCATCTCTCCCGCGCCTGTCACTGTCCCCGTCCCTCCCACTGCCAGTCCTGGTCCAACTGCTGCTGCAGCGAATGCGAATATCCTTCGTAACCCTCAAAGGCATCGTCAGCTTCCTGCTCGATTTCGAGACAATGATGCAGATGAAGGGGAATCCTTCCACCTTGAGAATGTCTCTGGGGATGAGGGGGACGAAATTGTCAACTCACCTGCACCTGCAGTAGGCCTGCTGCAGGCCATAGTCCATTGCAGACTGCAATGAATACCGCTACAACTGACCCTCTGGCCACTGGTGGCCGAGCAAAAGTGCCGAAATCCTCTGCCGATATTCATTTCTTCTTCAGACAGGACCCTATCACTCTTTTGAATATCTGCAAAGCCTGCGAGTGAGTATTGTGTTTGGTGTTATCGTTCTCTCTGACATCCTTCACCAGAGCAATCCATAATCTCGATGATACTCACTACATTATGTCATACCTTCCTAGCACAGGCACTTCAGCTTGTCGTGCACACGCCTTCGCTGACCATATCGACATTTACC